ACTCCTTTTGACATCGTCTCCAGATCCCATTGGTGTTGTATCTCATCCACTAGCTTTGTGTCTATAGTCAGGTCGCCGAGAGGTGTACGGTACTTGTCGCAGCCTGTCGTCGCAGCGCCAGTGAGGTAGTGGTGGTGAGAGGGGCCGAGTAGGAAGACGCGTTTGCTACAAGCAGTCAGTGCGGAACCCTGATTGTCTCTTTGACCGATGTGTACTCACGCATTCGCCCAGTCAGCGCTCTTGTAGGCCCATGCTGCAGCGGGACCTGAGTACGAGTATCCGGCATGCCTGCACGTCCATGAGCCTCGTCTTCTATACAGAGTCTTCAGGGCACATACGGGGCGATGATAGCTCGCGCGTGTGGTGCAGGTATCGAGACTTGGCCTTGTTGTGAGGAAGCGGAGCCTATGGGCGTCGTGGATTCGGGAACCTCTCCGAGCCAGCCGTCGAGTTGCTGGGACAGGAGTTGTTTGTTGTCCGTATACCAGGAACCAGCGTGGGTGGCTTTACGAGTGACCATGTTGGGTTTCAGTGATGGGAATATGGAGCGGAATGCTCTAGTGGGAATATTGGAAGCTGTTATCGTGACGTTGTATGGGCTAGTTGGTGTTGGCATGTGAGGGGTGGTGGGGTAAAGACGAGCTTCACCCTTTGTATGACCGATGTAATGCCTTCAGCTCCATTGCTCTCGAGCCAAGAGTGTCAGGCCAGCCAGATTGTCGTGATTGCTAGATAGACCCGGGATAAATTATTGGGCAGATAAAATCCTTTGCTCATCGCGTCACACGTGCCGACTTCGTCTGGATGTTCTGTCGGGTAGTGATGCAATGCGATCCCGACACGCCATCACGCGACGCGCTCGCGCCGATAGATCGCGTCTCCCAGGCCAACCACTTTGCATCATCACTCCCCGTTTCATCCCATCTCGCTTTGCCTCTTTAGCACACAAACATACCACCCCACAAACAGCGGATTCACTATCTTGATATACCCCAAACGAAACCTTATCGTCCGTTAACACTTAACATCACAACCATGGGTCTCAAGCGCAAGCACTCCTCTGACGACTCGCCGCTCTCCATGTCCAGCTTCGGCTCCGTCTCGACACCAGACACACAATTACCAATGTCGTTCTCCAAAGGTTACGACAAGATGATGGAAACAGACGCGCCCGCGAATATGAGAACTAACGCGTGGGACTTTATGAGCGCGAGCCGAGTCAAAAGCAGCGACTGGGGGAACCGCACGCGCAAGCGAGTCCGCGACAACAGACCCGATGAGCGAGCGATACATGGTATGATTTCTAGGCTGCATTCGCCAATTCGCACGATGCTAATTCCATGCTAGAAAACACGCTAAACATGCTCTTCGCCGCGCAACGTAACCACCCCGACGCCTCACCTATCCCATCTGATCCTCTTCCAATGCATCAACAACCCATTTCAATCCCATCAAAGCCACAAAAGTCTACGCTGCATTCTTTCTGGAAAGAGCTGCCCGCGCCACCTGTTCAGCCTATCTTCTCAATGCCCATACAGCAAGAGCAGACTTCATCGCAACTGCCGCGGTGCGAAGATTGCGATACACCGCTGCAGAGTGGAGGGGATAGCATGGATGTAGACATGGACATGGATATGGGCGGAGCTGTGGAATATAGTCCTTTCGCGTGCAATGATTGCGGGAGGAATGTGTGTGGGACTTGTGCAGTCGTATCTTCAACACGACACTGCTTGCAATGCGCAACCAGCGGAAGGAATTCGAGAAGGTGGTGGTAGGCTGCGAGTGAGCTTGAAGCGGTGCTTTCAAAAGGTACATATTGTAATGGCGTGTAGCATAGCGATTGGTGATCAGCAAGATATCCCAGCATTATTGAATAGCGAGGCGCAACGGTATCAAGGATGGAACAATGGACGGTAAAACAAAGGTAATATACCCAGCTTAGTTCTGAATCGATTGATAGATTTTGGAATACTGCGTTCCCTTTACATACATGTGTCGTGCAAAAAGAAGCTCGACCACTTGCTGTTAACGACAAAGCATATCGCGAGTATGGGCGTCATGGAAGCATTTACGAATTGCAAAAAGAAGGATTTGAGGTCGTGCCCGGGTTCTTCTCAATGTTAGGGAAAGATCTTGAAATCATGTTCTAGGGGTGGTCTTACCGAACCGGGGTTATCAGAAATTTGATTGAAGTCAAAATCTGAAGTGATAACCACTACCTAGAATCGAATGAGCGCATGCTTTGGAGTAGCGGAGATGATGGTCAACGTACACTACACAACCTATGGATGCTTCAAATAGTGCAATATGACTTTTTTAATCACAATAATATTCATATAGCTACAGTTTCTCGCTGGACATTCCATGAATCCCACAACGGATTCCATCAGATTCCCATGTTTGAAGCGAGTTGCTGTCTCAGAAGCATGACGATTAGACTTGTGCAAGCCCACAAGCTGGTGGGGCCTCTTATTCACAAAACGCAAAAAAGAGGGGTGCAACTTACCGATTTCGGCCAACTCCAACAACCCTTTCAGGACACGCGCTGCGACCTGTGGAATATGTAAAACATACAGAGGGAGTTGTACAGACGTGTGAATGATATAGCAAACGATGAAAGTAATCGGACCGTTGCAAAAAGAGTTGTTCAGCGTCCAAAAGTCGAGCAAACTTCCAACCCCTCAAAATGAGGTGCAGAGACGTTCACAACACCTCCACAAGCCAAAAAAAAATGGCAAAAAGATAGATGCAACTGCTCGTTACGAGCGGGGAGGATCGAACTCCCGACCTTCTGCGTATCTTTACATTTGATAATGTAAAGCAGACATCATAACCACTGATGAGATGTTAGGAGATGTTGTGATGAATGGATGAATGGTGAAACGAACCTAGACTACGCTCGCTTGAGTTGTTTGATGAAAGAAACACAAAATCCACTCTAATTGTTCTTACGTGCTGCAATCTGCGCCTCAGGTCGAAAATATCGGTGTGGGTCGTAGGCGAGCGCGGCTCGTGGAATGCAAAGTGAAGGCGGAGCGGTGACAGCGGGGTCGGTGGGGACAGTGCTAAAACTGCTCATCTGCATTGCATCGTAGCAGAAGGGTACTCCCAACACTATGCATCAAGTTTAGGGTAAATGTCTGGCCTTTGCTCGTTATAAGGCCCGAGGGAATTTGGTTGTTTTCCTGCTTGGGTAATTTTCCGTCTTTCTACATTACGCCTGGCGACAAGTCGCATGTCTGCTCACAGAAGATTCGTGTACGACAAAATATGGTATGAGTAGTTTTGAAGGATAGTCATGAATTAGAAAGACCAGAAATCCAGTGGGATTTTCGGGCTCAATCTTAGTAGCAACGTTGCTCAATTTGGTTTGCCCCTTCCCCTGACAACATCTGAGTTGCATTTTCCCCCCCAAGAACCACATCAGCAGTTCCTGCAAAAAATTACTGGTGCTCATCAAGGCGCGCGAAGCATGCGAAAAACTGCGATTATTGTCCTTTACTGCTATAACTACGAAGTACTTATCATTATGTAGGCAATAATCGTGTGTTCCCTGTATCGAAGGCGACATGTTCATGTAGCAGTTCTTGATCTGGGTTCAACCAGAGCATTTATGGGTCTTTGTAAGCAGTGGCTGTCTCTAATGCATGCTGCGTCGATACTCCAATGTCAATCCGAGGAAACCCAGTATTACATTCAACAGACACCACAGCGTATTGCAGCGTTAGATCTGCTCAGTAGAATGTTCGCGGCACTGCATACAAGAGGAAAATAAAACAAGTACAGAGATAACATGCCTTGCCTTGCAGCCTACGTCAGGTTCAAACAAGAAAACCTATTAAAACTGAGAGTATTATAGGCTTCTAGATTCTTTATGTCTATACTATAATTCTTAGGATACATTGTTGTAGTAGGTGGCGGAGTAAATTAGCCTGATGCATCTCTGCAAGTGACGAGGTAGCGGATCGCAACACCGTCATGTCCCGCATGACAGCTTAACTCCGACCAACCTCAGGCTCACCACCTTCCATCTTACCGACATCCACCACCCACAATGTCGCACACACTCTTCACTAAAGCGCCTTCGCTGCGCAATGTAGCCCAGCGCTCAATCCCGCGTCAGTTCCGCGCTTCATACCATAGACAATCATCTCCCAAGATGGCGTCGGGTGCAGCACCCATTCGCACACTACTCCGCCAGACAACCCTCCGCGCAAGCGCAATAGCAGCGCAACGCACATCCTATCCCGCAACCCAGCAGTTCTCATACCAGACCTATACGCAACAACGCTCACGATCACCCTCACCTCCCCCGCCATACCAAGCACGCAACACATCCATCCTAGCCGCACCAAACCAATGGACGCGCTTCACTACGCCCTACAATACTCTTTCCTCCGTGCGCACATTTACCTCTACATCATGCGGTAAATTTGCGTCCGCCAACTCCTCAGCTCCTTCCTCGCTATCGCCAGAAACACAACAAGCGGTCGATGAAGCGATCGAGGAGATACAGGAACTGTACGGCACAGCCAAAGACGAGTTCGAAATTGCGTCTGAAGAGAGCGAGAAGAATACTACGTATGCTCCTGACGATCGAGCTGCGGCAAGAGAGGAGTTGGATAAGCTGCTCGAGTATTACAAGGGTATTGTCGATGGGGAGGATAGGGCGGTCGCGGATGAGGTAAAGAGGAGGGTCGGACAGAGGATCCGAGAGTTGGAAAATGCAGTGCTGGCCATGGAGGAGGCTGCTACACATGGCGATTAAAATCTAGTATATTTCTTTGCGTACTTCCCATTCAAAAAGGCATCTGTACATTACAGCAGAGGCTGCTCAAGGCTGTTGTACTATATTTTTAGAGTCAACTCCAATTCATCTTCGTGAAACGTTGAATCGTCGTAGTCATTTCATATTATATAGAACACTAATTACAACATAACACCAAAACGCCATACTGTTCCGTGTCCTACCAGCTAAGCGGTCCATGCTCAGATTCCATCTAGCCATACAGCTGCTCGAACTCCGAGATAGGATGCCTTGGGCGCCTCTCTTGACCTCCATGCAGGATTGCATCTAGTTCGTCTCTAAACTGGGTTGGGTTGAGCACAGGGTTCGCAACCTTTGGCCGACTGGGCATTCCCCAGGCAGTCTTACTATTCTCCTCGTCCATTTCCTCGCGCAGGATCTTGACCTGCTTCTTCATCTCGATCCACAGTTCCAGCTTATCGAGTTCCGCGTCCGATGTTGGAGTAGGATCGGACAGGTCACCGAAGGGCAATTTTCGTGCGAAATTGGCATGCAGTGTACCGAGGGCTGATTTCATCGGATCTTGGGGACCTGACCACCTCTCTGCTTCGCGATCCGCCTCCTCGACGCTCTTACCACCCCGAGCGGCGATAGCAAGTAGAGACGCGACGAAAGCCTCCTGCATGTAAGCGAAGGAGAACTTGGGCGTAATCTCGGCGATCTTCTCGCAAAGCTCATCGGGGAAGTCAAGGTCCTTGTTGTCCTTGAGCTTTCCCTGCCAGAACTTGGCGTATTGTACACGCTGGTCGTAATCGGGGTTGGGGAAGTAGTATTTGCGATCGAAGCGGCTAGGCCTTTTGGCGATTCCCGGGTCCAGTCTGTCCAAGTGGTTCGTTGAACCAACCATCAAGATGCCGTCATTGGACTTGAGACCGTCCACTTCATTCAGGAAGTATGATCGGACGCTGTCATCGACGATTGAGTCTAGATCTTCGAAGACAAGATAGCATGGGGCTTCTTGACGGGCTTTGCCAAAAATTTGCGAAAGAGAGTATTCAGGGCCCCCGAAAGATGAAAGCGTGCGAACATAGAGGGTCGGAACGGCGAGTCTCGAGTCTCCTTGTACGCCGCGCTGGTAAAGGCTGTGCATCATGGCCTTGATGCTGATGGTCTTGCCGTTTCCTGGAGGTCCATAATAGATGACGCCGCGCTTCCACGGCACCTTTAGGTCCTGGTATGTCTGCTGGCCATCGAAGAAATTCTCCACGTCGGAGATGAGTGCCTTCTTCATGTCCTCGTCGAGGATGACACTTTCCCACGAGCTCTTTTGTACGGAGTTGTATAGTTCTGCACTCTTTTGCCAGTAACCGCCATCAAAGACCCAGACCTCGTTGTGTAGCTCGCTGCCCCACTTCGTTGCGTCCTTGATCAACTCATTGACTTTGTGCTCTGCGTTGGAGAGGATGTAGTGGAAGGTTGGGTTTGGGTACGACGACCCTCCGTCGCGGCCTTCGGCAACGTATAAGATAGCCTCCTGGTCCTTCCATTTGTACATGTATTTGCCAAAGATGACACGTTCGACCATGTTTCCGGGGCTAGAATCAAGTCTGTGAGCTGGTGGAGCGTACGAACGCCACTTGAGGCCGGGGCCGTATACCGGGTCTTTGACGACATCTTCGAGAGGCGTGGCCGTTGCGTGGCCGGCACCAGCGTAGGCGAGGAGGTTGAGCCTTCCCTGAGGCGCGACCACAAGATCGAGGTTGGGGTATTGTGAGCGGATAGCTTCAACGAGTACGATGTCCGTATTGACGCGCTTGCCCGATGAGTGGTCGAAGTAGGAGAGGCTGGTCATGTCCTCGTGGGACACGTTGTTGTTGTTACTGTCTGACATGCTGGGCTGGCAGACGATCTGGTGTTGAGTTGGGATTTTGAGTCTTCAGTGACAGGTGTTGAGGGATAAAGCCATCAACCGTCGCCGTGTCTGCCTAAACACCGAGTTCAGGTAGGCAGGCAGGCAGGCAAGCTCCACGGGTAGCGAGGCGAAGCTAGCTCTCGCAGCTTCCCCGCGCTAGGAGTGGATCGCCCACCCATTACGTAGCCGGCGTTCCGCCATGAAACCCGCCTCAACACCAAAGCAGATATCTCGAGCATTCTCCAAGCTGAGGATTGACGTTCGTGTTGACGAGCTCGGACGCCTTTGTATCTTCTTCGGCCCTCCTCTGCTTACCGGTACCTGGGTTGGTAGCGAGACGCGCCAAGTTGGTACCAAGCCGGCAGAGAGTGATAAGAAACGCCACGTTCCTGCCCTTGTACTGTTTGTTGCAACGTCTTCTCATCTCTTCGACTGCAGGTCTCATGCTTCTGAGTCGCCATTGTTGACTGACAGCGATGACAGTACTAGGTAAAGTCAGCATTCACTGATTGACATGATGGACGTTGCGATGGTGGGCTACTGCTCTGAGCCAGATGAAACAACAGTCCTAGACAACTCCAGACAACAATTTCTATGTTTGTATCGCTGTAACGTAAAGACGAGTGGTATGCACAGAGTGGCGCGATACCCAGTGATACCCAGTGATCATCGTGCGCAAGACGATACCTGGCTCAGGCATTCTCGAGAGTCCACAGCACAGTTAGAAAACACCAGTGGTGCGAGGTGTTCTTCGTCGTTGGTCATCAGATGATACACGACGTGCTGCATCACCTGATGGCTACTACTCAAACTCGTAGCATATCGGCTGAACGTACACTACTAACTCCCGGTTATTGCGTGCGTGGAAGGTTGCCGGAAGACCGCGGGAAGTAGCTGGCTCCTCGGTCTTCCATAGTGGCGAGGCTTTCTTTCCGTTCTCCCAGCGTCCTGACTCCTGGCACGCTCTTACGCAGGGTCGAAGTGGAGTCCCCAGATCTCGCCCAGGTCCCTCTCCACAATCTGGGTGGACCCTACTTCCTCGTTTCCGAAGCCTTGTGGGAAACCGGCATAGACATAATCGGCTACAGCAACCAAACACATATTCTTTATACCGAGGCTACAATAAGCCACTGGTCAAACACCTTTAGGGAACATGCGATACGTTGAGAAGGTTCGCTTCCATGATCGGTTCAACAATACGCAACACCTTTCCTTTTTTCCATGCAGGTACCATACAATGCCTCGGAAGCAGTGTCCGGGCAACCGCTTGATCTCTTCGTTGTTAAGAACAACAGCAACGGACTTGCGCAATGCGCAAGTTGAGGCACTTCTTTTTGGCCACCATGGACTGAACATGTCCGAAGGCATTGCTTTGTTTTTGATGTTGTGGTCAAGCCTGGTAACTGCCGCAAAGCATCTCAAGCAATGCCACCCCAATAAAAGGAATCTGTGTGGAGGAAAAACTAGTGTCAGTCTTCATCGTGTATCGGATTGGCTCCCATGGTGATGGGTCATATAAGACATGCATGTCAGTTGCGCAAAACAATATGATGGCGCGATTCAGATGCAATTCAGGCTAATGGACTAATGTAAGATGCATCCTCGCGATGATTGTGGTGGCATCAATACATCAAAGCGAGAAACTAAACATCTCTTTAGGGCAGAGTACTTCTTCCTACCACAACAATTATATAAGAGACACAGAGTGATAGATAGAATTGTAGATTTCTAGATTCTCTATTAATCTTTATGAGATTTCTTGTTAAGAGCTAATGTGAGCTGCAGTGTAAGAGCTTGCTACTTCTGTGTTCGGTTTTCCCTTGCTTCCCAACGCAAAGACACTGCTGCCCAGACAACACAGACAACACAGACAACAAGTGAGCGATGCAAAAGCCCTGAGACAACACTGATCGCATCTATCCGCCAACATACCAGTCCTGTCGCGGAGACAACGGACACGGAACGGCAGGATGCAGGTGCAAATGACTTGACAGCTGCTCCCGCTGGTCCGAAGGATCGCAACAGCCAGCTTGCGTCTCAACCGCAGTCTAGGATGGGTGGTAAGATGCTGCTCCACTTGCGGCCCCATGCAGCCCCGGACGACCAGGGAAATGGCGGCTTCACACTACGCTAGGGTCCTCAATCCCACAATTGATGAACAGACTTTTCTGTTCGTCGTTTTCTGAACGACCATTTCAAATCCAGTTATTCAGCATGTGTATAAACCTTTCGACGGCGCGTCTCCTTAGCTCTACCAGAGTTTTATTATGTCATGATATTGGAAGATGCCGGTGGCTTATGCCGAGGCTCTTGGACAAAGCTTAGCCACCTTACCTCATGCACAGGATCATCATCCCGTTTCCTCCGCGGCCTCTGGGGATCCCAAGTTTCAAAGCACGCCCAATAAATCGCTTAAAGGACTACGGAGCGTATTGTGGCTGTTTCCAATACAAAAGCGCCGACGCTCAAATAGCAGCGCAAATACCAAGGGAACGGCTGCGTTCATATCATGTTCCAATATCGCACCCGCGATATCCGGCATCCTAGCTCAGCAGGCAGAGAATGAGTGTCCACATTGGAGGTTCGCGTACACCCATGGAAGGGCAGGACGCCGACTTCGCGTCTAACTACTCCGAGCAAATTGAGCGTTGGTGCACTGACTTGAGCTCCACTCCTGCACGCGTTTCTCGCAGGGGCACTCCTCCAGGGTAAACATGCAGTCAGACCGCTAACATGCAAATACCAATAGCGGTCTGTGTGTTATACGATGTTTCGAAGACTCATGCTCGCGATGTCTGCCGTTTCTGCGTTCAAAACACTTGATGGAAGCTGATGTGTCATGGTCACAAGCAGCGATGATGTAATGCTTGGTACTTGGATGGCGATCAGCACTCGGGAATTGGAGCAGCACATCTCATTTCTCCGCGTCATCGCAGCAGCGAGGCCGTTCCAAACAAGACAAATTACTGTTGAATCGGTTGGCGCACCACTTGTGATCCTCTTTGTCGATGTCCATCCAACCTCGGTAAGGTAGCTTTTAACGCCGATCACACGGCGCATGGTGGCTTGAGTTGGTCTGATTGTCGTTCGTCCGCTCACCGTGCCCTCACTTGATTGACACGCTTGTGGAGACGCATGCTGTCCTTTTACCCGGGATGGAGAGGCGTCTATGAGAAACTGCCATGAGTGGCCCGCTTTAGCACCTGTTTGGAATTCTAATTACCTACCCTTAGTCGCGGGCCTAGCACCAGTATGGGACGACGGCTCATGGCACACGTAGATGGACCATGCTTCCCCTGCGAGGTCTGGTCTGGACATATATCAGTCTCTCCGCTCCCCCAGAGTGGGCTTGCTTTCTCCTTCCCCAGACTCTCTCCCCATTGACCCATCTCGAGTTAGTCCGAACTACAGTTACCCATAGTAGACATCATGGCGACAGCTCGTGAGCACAACGACACCGTGGTAAGCTCGTCACAAGTCCAAGGCAACTTCAAGTCTAACCACCATCACAGCGCGGTCCAAGTTTCGAGAAGACCACAAACGGTACCAGCGCAATGGACCACGCGGCGACCAACGGCGCAGGACTCCCTAAGCAAAGGGCTCCATACGACTATGGCGGCAACCCTCTTGCCCACGTCGCTACGAACGACCCAGACCTACGCCTTGCAGCCTTTGGTGGTGAATTCCAGCCTGGTCTATACAGGCCGCCGAACCGCAAGTTCGCTAACCCAGCTCCCCTGGGTCTGTCGGCTTTCGCCTTGACCACGTTTGTCCTTTCTTTGATCAACGTCAACACTCGCAGTATTGGTCACCCCAACATTGTTGTGGCTCTTGCATACGGTTATGGAGGTCTCGTCCAGCTTTTGGCCGGCATGTGGTATGTACTATTATACAATGCTTGAATACTCTGTCTGACAAGGAACAGGGAAATGGCTGTTGGTAACACATTCGGTGCTACTGCTCTGTCATCCTACGGTGGTTTCTGGATCGCCTTCGCTATCGTTCTCACTCCCGGTGGATTCGCCATTGAATCATCTCTCATCGCGGAGGGCGAGTTCTACGACTCGTTCGGTCTTTTCCTCATGGGCTGGTTCATCTTCACCTTCATCCTGCTTCTCTGCACGCTCCGATCGACCGTGGCCTTCTTCTTCCTCTTCTTTACCCTCGACATGGCTTTCCTCTTGTTGGGAATTGGCTACTTGAATGCCGATGCCGCCGGTCCTCAGGGCGACTGCATTGTTGCTGGTGGTGCCTTCGGTCTCATGGCCGCTTTTGCCGCCTGGTATAACGCACTGGCTGGTATTGCGGATAGCTCCAACAGGTTAGTCTTTGACTCTCTGTACCATGCTTGTGACTTATGCGCTGACTCTTTCTTTACAGCTTCTTCGTCATCCCCGTGGCTCACTTCCCCTGGTCTGAGAAGGGCCGCGAGCGTCGCAACAAGGTCGACAACTCGTCTGCCCGTGAGCACCAAGCATAAAGTAGTGCATAGAGTGTACTCGCTATAATCATGCGTCGCTTTTTCGATGCAACAAGATGAGAAACGGGAAGACGTTATCACGGGTCGGCAATGGATATGCCGAAGTTGATGACCGTCGTATGGGATGATACCCATGACGGATATGTATATTTTTAATATCGATTTTCAATACCCACTGTTGAAGAGGAGAGTCTGAATCAAATGTCACGATGCGATACTTTGAAACAAATTCCACAATGCTACATTCGTGACTATCGCAACGTGCAAGTTGATCCGTCTTCGATAGAGTTTCAGCTCTAACGTAGCAGAGCAGTCCTTGCCCGAATACTCCAATACCACGTCTCAATAGTAGTCTACATACAGACATTACTCAAAGGCATACGACAACGTCAATGCTTGTCGGCTTCTTGCTACAAGAATACAGACTAGAGTATAGGTCTTGTCAATTCTGCACCTGTACAGTTTCTCCATTGTATGGGGTGAGAACGTACGGTCCCCGCATTCCAGTCTAGACTACTGCAGTCTCCGGATTTGAAATCTTCCAATATTTCCCCTGCCGTGGGCATCGGTCGATTCACTCACACCAAGAGGCATGGCGCACGTCACAGCATAGCGGCTGTGGCTTACCTTGGCGTGGCGTGAGATCGGGCGGTATAAGCGTTTCGACCCAAGAGACCTTTGCTCGGCTGAGGTCAGAGGCGCTTACATGTCTGCTGTCTGTCAGGTTGCGCTCACACCATGACGATGGTGGTTGAAGGGCTGAAGAAGGAATGCATGATGAGACATTGAGAAACTCTTTTTTTTACAAGTTTTGTCAAATCCCAAAATCTACTTTAGAGGTATATGTTGTCACTTTAGTAGATCCTTACCACAGGCCCATATACACCATTTAGCATGTAATATGGATTAGGTACAGTTGAGGAGAAAACATTTCCTCTGTAGGTTGAAGTATGCGCATGGGAGAAACTAAACACCTCTTAGGGCAGAGTACTTCTTCCTACTACAATAACGGGCATTAGATCTATGTAGATATAAATAGAAAGCCCAGAAGACTACAATGCTGTTAATCTTTATAAGTTTCTTTATTAAGAGACAGTGTAGACTGTAAGATATACCTTATCATCTCTGTGGTTTTGTAGATGTTGGCGGTGTTCTGACCATGTCGGTGCTCGTGATACTTCTGTTTGCTGTGTATAGTAGTCATATGTGTTTTTATGCACTGGTCCGCAGGTTTCTACTCTCAAGATGCAATGCATACTTTGCTAGTGTACACCCTAGTCCCGCCTGCTACTTCTACTCCTACTGCGAGTCCTGCTTCTTGACCGACTCAGTTGTCCCGGACTGCGACTCCTTCCCCGATCCCGGCTATCATAACTGCGACTTCTGCTGCGACTTCGACTATCGTAACTTCTGCTCCTGCTCCTACTCCTGCTTTGATAACTCCTGCTCCTATAACTCCTTGCGCTTCCATCACTTCTTCTGTCTAAGTCTTCATCCAGCTCATCGATCTCATCGCCCAACGGACTCTCCCTTGGCTCCAGCATGTCCAAATCCTCCAGGTTCGCCCGTGACGGCAACTTCCACAGACTCGTCGCGCATATCCGGTCTTTTGTAAGGAGATCGTCGATAAATTGATCAACATGTGTGAGTGTAAAGGCGTCTTTGAGACGTCGCTTTATCTTGCGGTAATCGGTGAGAAGGGGTTCGAGGGTCTGGTAGATTTCGACGGGCTCCCAAGCGAGGCGGATGTAGAAGGCGGCGAGGCAGCGCAGGTACTTGAAGTCGCCAAGTTTACCTGCTGCGTTCAGGTCCAGCGCTTTCTTGGTTGCGTCTTCGTCTTCTGATGTGTGGCCGTTCTCCTCTTTCTTGACCTCGGCGTCTTGGCCCTCGTCCTCCTCATCGTCGCGAAAGTTCAGGTATTCTAGGATAATCTCCTTGTCCGGCACTAGTTGCAGCATCTTGAAGGCCAGACACAAGAATGGCGTAGGCTTGCCGGTAATGCCTGTTGTGCCGCCGATGAACTTGAGGTCTGCGGCGCGATCGCATAGCGTCGCAGCGTTCAGACCAAAACATTGCTCCTTCCAGTAGTACGACTCGGTGATGCGCTCACGCACACCCTTTTCGAAGAGTAGCGCGGGGTTCTGCCCTCTGATGAGCGCTCCGCGATAGCCTCTGTCGTCGAGGAGCGCGCTGGCGTCTGCGCGGTCGAACTGGGGTTTTGACATGTGGATGCGCCTTGGAAATCTTGCGATACGGGGTTCGAGGTTGGAGAAGTGGTTTCGTTCGTGCGCGTAGTATAGTGAGGTCTGGGTGCGTGCTGGGAATCAAGGTCGCGCAATGGTCGCGATAATTTGAGCCGGGGTCTTGCCAGCTCCCAAAGTATCGATAGTTGCCCACTCAACGCCAACGATCAACATGCAGCCCTACGAACATCTAGATCCACCAAGGACGTCACACCAGTTCTCGGCCTGCGCTCTCCTGCATAAACTACTCTTGACGTTCTATATGCACACTTCTAGACTGTCATAGTATTCTTATACCCTTTGCTTTCAGCGTTCACTTCTAGCCATGGGAAGACTGCTCCTTTCTTCTAGCCAGGTTGGCGTTATCCTGTCGGCAACAATTGGTACGTATGGTCCACAACGGACCGAAGACTTGCATTGCTGATGCTGCCCGTAGTTCTTCTCTTCACACTTGCACTCTTCCTTTCCGGTTGGGTATTACAACAACGATACGTACACTCTCTGCAGGCGGCCATAAAACCACGGTTACCCAAGCCTTTACCGCCTCCGAAACCGATAGAACCCCCGACATTAGACGCAAAATGGGCGAGACCAATGGGCAGCCGGCCAGAGGTGGACGATACCTATGCTCAATACATCGCAGGCCAGACAATGGACTGGAGCAGGCTGGGCTACGTGCAAGTCGTGAGGGAACACGTAGAACTATGCAGTGCAGTAATGCTCCTCTCCGACCTGCACAGGATGAAGAGCCCCGCGAAGAAGATATTGATGTTTCCGAAACTTTGGCTTGTGGAGTCAGAAGATGAAAAATATGGACCGCAAATGTCGACCACACGGCGTTTGCTGAGGACAGCAGCGAGGCGGTATGGCGTCACTTTGATGCCCATGGAACCTATAGTGGAAGGCGCAGATGGTGAGTCTTGAGCTGAGGAAGCCACGCTCTGCCAGTGACTGACAGCATCAGACACACTCCCCTCGTCCTATTCGCTAGCAAGTCTATACTCACTGGTAGACTACGAGCGCATACTCTACCTCCAGGGCCCAGGCGTACTGCTCGATGCATCAGCTTTGGACTCATTGCTGGCTTTCTCCAAGTCGGAGCCCATGGCTGCGTACCCCGCCACACCAGAACGAACAGACCTGTCGACATCGCTCCTGATGATACATCCATCACAGCAGAGCTTCAATCAGCTGAGAGCAATGCGCGCGTCGAAGCCAACATCTGATTTAAACATGTTCCGGAAGACGTTTACGGTCTCGGACTCTTTGATCTCAGAGTGGTCATTGTCAATGGGCAACGTCGTCTACGAGTCGCAGAATCTGCGCAATGTTGTCGACGATTTCAATGCAACGGCATTCGAAAAGATGACAACGTTCGTGAGACTGTCCGATCCCGAGATACCAGGACCGGAGTACGACGTCCCATACTCTGAACGCGCTAAGCTACGACCGCAGAACGAACAAGCACAAGAGGCATGGAGCAAACTCTACGAACAATTCCGGCAGCGACGCATGGAAGTGTGCGGCCTTGATCTGGAGACGTACCAGCCGATCATGGTCTCTGGTGGGGCTGATGGAACGAACGTGGTGGCTGATGAACTATGAAACGGCAAGGTTTTCTTTTGATGATGCAACGTATGCGATTTGGCTACTTTCGAGTCATGTTTAAATAATGAGGCTTCTCGGGTTGATGGCACAGTACATAGGGTCGGCGTTCGGTGTATCATGTGTGTTGGCGCGCATTACTACGGGTTGATCGGTCTCGACGGTTGGTCTGCTAGCTGTTCGCAGTATAGGCAGGCTGGGTATATCAGCAGGGCTAGGACTCGGGAGCCATGTTCCTCAATGCTGGGACGACCATGCCCAGAGGTACGCATGACGCAACAAGCGATGCTTCCCGCGCAGGCAGCCTACCTGGGCATGACACAGTGTAATGAATAGACGTGTTGAAGTTTGGATGCGGTGCATTCAGTGATGTAGTATTGGTCAAAGGGCATTGACTGCAGCCAGCAAACACTGGCGCTGCGGGCGATTGAAACATGGTTCTTTGAGAGGGCCTGCTTGGGTCATGTTGCCAATGTCGCCCGCTCGTGGTAGCTTCGACGCTTCTTCCCCGCGAGCGAGCCTCTACTGTCTAGCCCAACCTCCACCCATCAACTAGCCCAAAGCTTGCCCGCCCACGCCGCAAACACTCCCTGACCAACGCCATCCTTACCCTGCTCCTGTGCATGTCCGCGCATCCGCACGCACTCTGAGCGCATCAATTGCAGCCCTCTGCGCCGCCCAACACCGTCCCGAGCCTCCCACGCATTCCTGGCCGCTGCTTGCTGAGATCGCCGGAGCTGCGTCCAGGAACAGGCAGGGCAAGGCCGTCGCATTCCTCGAGCCGCCCCTCCAATGCCTACTCTGGGCTTCCTCAAGAAGAAGCGGACGAAGGACTCGAACGGCTCCAAGGACCTCGACTCGCCGACTTCGCCCATCAAGGACAGCAACTCGCCCATCACGCCCACGACATCGCGCAAGTCGGGCTCCTTCCACCTCCACAAGACCAAGACGAACGAGTCTCTCACCAACACCACAAGCAACACCAGCACCACGGCCGCGGCCGCGCCTGCCGCAGACAGCAAGCCGGCCGACTCGATGAACCCCGCCTACGCCCAACAGCAGCAGCAGCAGCCGCAGCAGCAGTTTGGCGCCAGTCCGCAGTCCAACCCTACGCCATCGCACAATATCCCCAGCATACAGAATCTGATACACCCCAACAACACTAGCTCGCACCAGTCGGCCCCTAAGAATGGCGGCGCCGTGCAGTTCCAGACTCAGCCGCTTAACCAGACCCGTGTCACCAAGGGCAAGTACTCGCTGACCGACTTCACCATCCAGCGGACGCTCGGCACGGGTAGCTTCGGGCGAGTGCATCTCGTTCAGTCCAAGCACAACCAGCGCTTCTATGCCGTCAAGGTGCTGAAGAAGGCCCAGGTCGTCAAGATGAAGCAGGTCGAGCACACCAATGACGAGCGGCGCATGCTGCAGCAGGTCAAGCATCCGTTCCTGATCACGCTGTGGGGCACCTTTCAAGATTCCAAGAATCTCTACATGGTCATGGACTTTGTAGAAGGAGGTGAGCTGTTTAGTCTGCTGCGAAAGTCCCAGGTATGTCGTACTTTACTTGTTCTTTGGCCTGAGGTTATCTAGTACTGACTTCCCCAGCGCTTCCCAAACCCGGTTGCCAAGTTCTACGCCGCAGAGGTTACGCTGGCACTCGACTACCTGCACTCGCACAACATCATCTACCGAGACTTGAAGCCTGAGAACTTGCTGTTAGATCGTCATGGTCATCTCAAGATCACTGATTTCGGCTTCGCGAAAGAGGTTCCCGACATCACATGGACACTTTGCGGAACGCCCGACTACTTGGCACCAGAGGTCGTCGCGTCAAAAGGCTACAACAAGTCTGTCGACTGGTAAGATTCAATTTCTGTAAATATGATAATCGCGCTGACAACGCCAGGTGGTCGCTTGGCATCCTCATTTTTGAAATGCTGTGCGGTTTCACTCCCTTCTGGGACGGTGGCTCGCCAATGAAAATCTATGAAAACATTCTCAAGTCGAGAGTGAAGTATCCACCATACATACACCCTGACGCACACGACTTGCTGCAGAAGCTCATTACACCCGATCTTACCAAGCGATTGGGCAACTTGCACGGCGGAAGCAAGGACGTTATGAACCATCCCTGGTTCGCCGAGGTGACGTGGGACCGATTACAGAAGAAGGACATTGATGCACCCTACGTGCCTCCTGTGCGAGCTGGTGTTGGCGATGCGAGTCAATTCGATAAGTATCCGGAGGAGACGGAAGCATACGGTCAGGCAGGAGATGACCCGTGCGTGCAGAGTCCTCCTTACACTGTGGATCACATTCTGACGTGTCCGAATAGTCATGGGCACCTATTTCCCGACTTCTAAAGCCGTAATCGAAAAGAGATACGATAAGCCTCTCCTTCAAAATCCAACTAGGCACGGCGATTCCTGGTCTACGTACCCGTCGAAAGTCCGAGCCATTCGTCCTACCATACATACTACTCTGTCCTTGACTCTCCTAGTGCTCTCTGTACGTGCGACCGTGTTGCACGTCGAAACCTGTTTGATTGTGTCATCATTACTACTTGTTGATTCATGGGCGCCGCTTGGATATGGTGTGGTGTAATCGTTAATGATGAACGATGACATGGATTTGTTGAACAGTATCCTGCCAATCAGGCTCGGTTGTGGGATCATTATTGTGGCAAAAATTACTAGTTCTATGCTGATACTTCGGTCTTGCCACCAGGAACGATGCGTGTATTAAACAGATGAGAAGAGTAATGCAAGGCTTGAGCAGATGGCATCTTTACTATAAATTCTCGTTGAATTCTCACAAAGTGAAAACAGTCTGACATAGGTAAACAATAGGAGAGAAAAGGCAACAGCTATCATTGCGCGAGCTCCGTCGCATATTTTTGGCCTATTGTCTATGCACATGTTCTGTTTTCCTCTCGTATGAGGTGTAGAGTCAAATAAAGATAAGGATGCGTAAATCAGAGGCAATGAAATAGGCGATCTGGCAAATAAGGCGTGATGGAGTTGTCAGTATTTGAAGCTGGTGGTGATCGTGGTTCCACTACCTTCAAGAGAGAAACGGACATAATAAAGCCAGTCAAGACCTTCTTAGATATATATAGGGAATCTAGAAGTCTACAATACTATGAATCTTTCTTGAATTTCTTCTCAGAAGCTAACATATGCGGTAAACTAGGGCATGTTGTTCCTATACCCGTTTAAGTTTTCTATTGTATACGGTGGTACTATCACTACAAGGGCACTGGAATCGACGGGTATCACGAAATTGCCTGTTTCGGCAGTCATCAGCAGTAGACGTTATTCCAGAACGACGTAAACAGGGAAGCTGAGATTTCAAGCGAAAACAGTGAATGGAATCGAAGGGTACATTTGCGATGGCAGTTGAGGCATGGATTGCTCCATAAACCAGGTTTCTGATTACGCAAAGATTGCTGCGATTGACACTTTTACCAACAATTACCTGTCCAGACGATAGATACTGGCGAAACTTGAGGGTAGTGACGTTAACAGATACTTGGCAAATAAAGCAATCTCAGCTACCCAGGAGAATGCGAGCCTTGAACACAGATCCCTTTGTCACACGCAAGACAACGAGGCACCCGAGAGCCGCGATTGTATTCACTCAAAAGCCACTATGATCGATAGACATCCTAACTTACCCATTTGGGTAGTGTCTGCATAGTAAATCTCATAGGTGAAATGCTTGTGCACGAAAAAGCAAATATCCAGAATGTGTTTAAAATAGGTAAAAGTTGGAGAATACCGTGCCGTAAGCTCCGCGATGACTTTGCCACTTGAGCAATGAGCTAACGATGTCTAAAGTAGAAGGAGCAAGACTTCGAAGAAAAGTATCTTCTGGACGTAACTAGTACTTCAGAGCTAGAAAGAGACGTGTGTACTCTAGATAAAGAGCAAAAAGACGACCAGCAAAAGTCCATCTATTCATACCAATCAGCCAGCACAACGTACAACAAGAAACAAGCATTGGTTAGACATCTAGATGGTCATTCAGTCTCTCTTGGCCGCATCATAAGTATATGAACACGGAAAGGGTCCGCGGACTCTTCGACTGCGTCACGGCCGTGCATTGCAAGCGTGGCGGCTTGACAGACGAACTTGTGGTTGACTATTGATTGCGTAGGGCATGGTCTCATCGACACAAAAGTAGAGCTATTGCCGTATCTTTCCTCTCTACGACTTGCAGATATTTGCAAAGATACCGCGAAGATATCTGTCCTATTGCGGTTGACACAAGCCCCCGTTGAGCCTAGCAGCATGACATCACACGCACGCCAAGACGCTAGAGAGAAAGCGGGGATCTTGGAGGGAAAGAACCATGTATATGGGTATGGAACGACAACGACATCGCGACACGTTCGTTTCGATGTGAAAAAGAAAGAGATTCATGAGGATTACAACACATTGATTGGATGGGATGATCTCCGTAAGCTCGACTTGATTCCACGTTGAAGACGACCGGCTAACATGTTCAACGCAGTGCCATGGCAGCGAGACAACGAATTCATCCTTACATCTCATCGGTATGATCTCAACTACACCATTGAAGAAGTAGCACCTACTGACAACAACTAGGCGAGCAACATTTTCGTACCTCCGCTCCCTGAAGAGCGCCCTTGAGGTCCACAATGAGACGGTGAATATCTGGTCTCACGTTCTGGGTACCGCCGTGTTCTTCTTCATTGCAACCATCTTTTACTTTCCCACACGTCAGATTCGTGACGAAGGAGACAGTATAAATGGCGATGACGAAGCAATCTACGTCTACTTCGGTTCCGTGATAGCTTGTTTCTTCTTTTCGTTCATGTAAGTGCCTCTTAATCCCACATCTACAGCTCTTCATACAAAAGAACTGCCGAGAATAACAATTGATAGTCACCATATATTCCTCGACCACAGTGAGCAGGTTCGCACTTGGACGGGCCGATTCGATTACCTTGGTATCGTAATTCCACTTTATGGTACGACCATCGCCAGTACGCACTTTGGTTTTCACTGCAAACCCTCATTGCAGGAAGCCTACAGTGTTTTCGCTACTGTGACAGGCCTTGCCTGCGCACTCACAACTCTTCATCCGTCTTTCTCTGGTCCCCAGTCCCGCCATGTCCGCACTACGCTTTATCTCCTTCTGGGATTATCATCTTTCCTTCCAATCGTCCATGGGATCTACCTCTTTGGTGTAGAGAACATGAATCGCAGAATGGGGTTGGGCTATTATCTTGGGTTGGGCCTGTGCCATGGTACCGGAGCCATGTTGTACGCCGCGAGAATTCCAGAGAGATGGCTTCCGAGGCGTTGCGACGTAGTAGGAAGTAGCCATCAAATCATGCACGTGCTAGTTGTGTGTGGTGCGGCGACGTACGGAGTGGGCGTCCTCGCGTCGAAGAGGTATTGGCAGACGAGAGGATGTGAAGTGTAAGTGTGAAAGTCACACAGATCTCGAGCCCTCTGCTTCTCGTTAGCGGCTACCCTCTCAAAGTACACTATAAAAACAACAGAATCGCGACACCAAATTCGGTTAATATCGACTCGAAACTACGAGCAACAAAGCAACGAAACGACTGAGTGCCACTGACCCAGGATGAGTGCAGGATCTCCGCGGGTGAGGCTCAACAGCTGCAGCTGAACCCACTGTGGGGCTTACCCACAATCTGCGCTACAACATACTTTCTCAAATTCTCGGAGAAGCTTCATCTTGATGCCACAGCTGAGCAGTTGAGATGACTTCTCCGGCCTTTCTCTCCGATGTCGCTTCAGCAGCGGCGGTATTGTTCACATGCCAGTACCTAGTTCCGGATGCTCCACCTGTGTAAGCTCTCGAAGATGCCGACGACCTCCAAAATCTGTTGCGATGTCACGATGATCCAGAGGCGGTCGCAAAGTGTCGACTGGCCTTGGCATAAAGAAAGTCAAATACCGTGATTACAAGAGAGCGATGACGTTGCCATGGATTTAAGACACACCCAAGATGATATACCCTTCAGAATCATCGGTGTTCTCCAAGTCCCCTCGTGCAAACTCCGTGTTCCCGGGGCGAATCCGCAGTCATGCGAGATAAGACACTGACTCCTCCATTGATTGGCTCAAGCGCGTTTCACAAGCACTCCGCCATCGTGATAGGAGCCGATCGACAAAAGGAAGAGCGATCTGGAGCCCAAATTGACAGATGAGAATTGTGCAACATGCAAATGCCTCCACCTGCTTAGTAGAGTTACGGTTGTACCAGCCGGTGGTCGCACCGCATACAAGGGAGGAATTGAAGAGGTACGCCAAAGCTTTCTACTGCTCTATAGCCTACAATAGCACTAATACAATTATTATCTATGTAGATATTAAGATTTAAAGTCTATATTAACTTAAAATATCTAGTGTTATTCTATAATGTACTGTTATAGACTGCAGTAGGCACGACTACTTACTCCCGCTCCTCGGAATTTCCCTTGTATACGGTACTTGCTTATCGGGCCACGTCTCCACACGCACGCGGCGGACACACACAACACTCATCACACCAAGTTTGCGAAATCATATGAACACAAAAACAAAGTACATGTTGTCAATTCAGTTGAGGTCCAGGGCTGACGTTTTAAGCTAGTGTTGTTTGCTGGCAGCACTTCCAGATGCTCTCGCGAGCGCCACCAGTTCGACACGTTTTGGTGTACTTATGCTAGGAACAGGAAGTTGTTGAGACAGAAAGCTATTTGCGACACAGGCATTTTGTCAAATACTGACCGCGGAAAAGCAGCAATTCATATTATCTTGAGACGTTCTGATAAGGATCCTTGTTCGCCTCAACTACTGTGAGTCTAGTCTCTCGCCTGGTTAGCGCCAAGAGATAAGAGAACGCCTTTGCCGTCCCCCACCATCCCGCGTCAAACCTCACTCCAGCGAACCACGACTTGTCGAATTGATATTCAGCCTCTTGTGCTCCAGCTTAGCCAGTCGATGATGAGATTCGATTCGCTGCAAGAGTATGTGGATCCCAAGTTAACGCCCTAGTGCTCATCGGAGGCACCCTTTATACCCGAGCACGCAGCAAAGCATACTTTCTCCGAAGCATTGGGCTCGCAGCTGCTAGGTGTCGCCAACGAAGATAACGAATTCGCCAATATTACTGCATACAGGCACGGAGAAGTCTGATCTCACTTGGCCTGGGGAACGATTTACGCCACAACTTTAGCTGTGCGTCACTGTGCTTCACCGCGGAAGTACCATCTTTGGGAGTTTCTGTATCAATCTATATAACCTCTCGACTTCCGTTTGGAGTTGCAACTTCAGCAAGCGTCCGCTCCCGTTTCCTCGACCGTACCTGTGAAGCATCACCAGCTGGTCACCCTTGTCTCATTCTCCTCAGAAACACTAGTGACCCAGCAGAATTTGACCCTCCAGGTTGTGTTCTTTATCATGCCGTTCGCAATTAGCATGCTCTGGTCTGCACCAGAGATCAACCCCTACAACAAGAAGGCCACTTCCATCCCTGTCCTGAACCCCATTAACAAGTATGGGCGTGTGTTTTTCTTCTCTTATCTGGGTTTCTTCATCGCGTTCTGGTCATGGTAAGTCTTTCCCCACATGCGGGTCTTTTCTACTGGAGCATGCTAACAATGTACAGGTACGCGTTCCCACCTCTGGTATGGTCACCCGCATTTCACGTCACTGTGCACATCAGTCCGACTAACACTTCCACAGCTGAGTAAGAGTATCAAGGCGGACATGCATTTGTCGCAGAACGAAATCGCCAACTCCAACATCGTCGCGCTATGTGCAACACTACTGGTCCGCTTCATTGCGGGACCTATGTGCGATCACTTTGGCCCACGCATCACCTTTGCATCGCTGCTATTCGCTGGAGCTATTCCAACCGCTCTTGCTGGCACTGCTCACAATGCAATGGGTCTTTATTTTATCCGTTTCTTCGTCGGTATTCTTGGCGGAACTTTCGTGCCCTGCCAAGTTTGGACTACTGGCTTTTTCGACAGGAACGTCGTTGGAACTGCCAATGCTTTGGTCGGAGGTTGGGGTAACTCTGGTGGTGGCATCACATAGTAAGTGCCACGTTTTAATCTACCAACGCTTTCACTAATGCCTTCCAGCTTCGTTATGCCCGCCATCTACGATTCTCTCAAGGCTGACCAGGGTCTCTCCTCTCACGTCGCATGGAGAGTATCCTTTATTGTTCCCTTCATCATGATCACAGCCTGTGCCCTCGCTCTTCTACTGCTGACCGATGATACACCTACTGGAAAGTGGTCTGAGCGTGGTGCTACCATCGTGTCCAATGCAGACCAGACAGTGGGCCACCACGCGTCTGTTGTTCCCACAACTGGAGCTCTGGACGACAAGCCTGCGACTACCGGGTCGATCTCCTCTAGTGACGAGAAGAAGCAAGAGCGATCAAACTCCGATGTCGAGTCCGGTCGCGGCGATGTCCAAATCATGGACGAGTTCCAACACGAAGTTGTCGTCAAGCCTACTTTGAAGGAAGGACTCAAAGTCATGTTCTCGCTCCAAACACTAATGCTTTGCTCGGGCTACTTCTGCTCCTTCGGTGGTGAATTGGCCATCAACTCCATTCTTGGTGCCTATTACTTGAAGAACTTCCCCTACCTTGGTCAAACGCAGTCTGGACGATGGGCAGCCATGTTCGGTCTTCTGAACATTGTTACCCGACCACTCGGTGGCTTTATCGCCGATCTCATCTACAAGGTCACTGGCCGCAACCTTTGGGCGAAGAAGTTCTGGATTCACTTCGTCGGCGTCATGTCTGGAATCTTTTGCATTGTGATCGGTAAACTAGACCCACACAACTTGAGCGAGCTGATCGGTCTTGTCGCTGTCATGGCGATCTTCTTGGAGGCTGGTAACGGTGCCAACTTTGCACTTGTACCTCATATTCACCCTCACGCTAATGGTATGTCTATTCCCTCACCATGACATGGAAAGCTTACTAACTATTCGAAAGGTATCCTTTCTGGTATTGTCGGCGCGACTGGTAACTTTGGTGGTATCATCTTCGCCATTATCTTCCGCTACCACAAGACGGATTATGCGCAAGTGTTTTGGATTATTGGCATCATGATCATTGTGCTTAACTGCATGTTCATGTGGGTAAAGCCTATTCCTAAGGGGCAGATCGGTGGTCGTTAAAGTCCATTTATGTTTTGTGTTTGTTGTTTAGCGTCTCGTACATATGATACCTCTGTTGATCGTACTTCTACAATTTCTAAAGTATGGAAACTAAAATCTTTTCATGGTGAACTATTCTTGTCAATTCTCTATGCTCACTCTTGGTGTGCGCAATCTTCTACCGTTTATGTGATGCTCACCGTACCGTTTACTCAATCGAGAAAACTATCAGTCTGTGAGCATATCGACATGAAGACTGCAAGGACTGTAAAAAAGATTGTGTTCACCAGCTCGCTCATCAAGACCCTGGTGAAACCAGAGGCAAGAGCAAAGGTAGAGACCATCACTGCCAAGACTGCACAGAAGAGCAAGCTCTATTGTCAAATTAACGAGACCGCTGCTCTAACAAATCCCTATCTAGCCAGCGGGGACCTCTCTGTCTTGGGGATGCAGAAGTTGGCTTACCTGGAAGTCAAGCAATCGCTGTCGCACGTCTTGCTATCTTGGATAAGTTGGATATTGTGTGAACCGGTGGTTGGTCATCTATCTTTTCCGGACGTGGCAGACCGTCTTATTACAATTCGGACAATGAGTCTTCTTGGCTCTCTATGCGGCACAAAGTCAAACTGAATCAGAAACTTGGCCGGAATGAGGCGCATCTCCGCTTGCTACCCTGGACGTGAAATTCACCCACGCCCTCTATGCTTCGGCCTATCGTCTCGGACGATAGGACCAAGCCGTATGCTGTCCACCTCCTAATCTTCGTCATCGTCGTCGTCGAGACTATCCATGCATTGTCTCAGTAGCTCAGAGAACCTACGCAATCTTCGGGGGAAGTCGGTTCCAGCTACGGCGACCTCTTCAACGACTAAAGAAAACATTTGAGCGACGTTCAATCTAGTATCAAGGTCAGTAGTTGCTGCTAGTTGAGCTATGACTACCTCTAGGGTGTCGGCGATTAATTGTGGTCCTCTACAGTAGCTCTTCAGGAACTCCGTGTTTTTCAGATATTGTCCATACATGGCTTCTCGCTCTTGGATAACAGCTTTCAGCACTTAGCGTACAGTTGTGGTTTCCTCTCCTGTATCCGTACCGAGCGTCTCGCCGATTTGCATCCTCATGTCCTCTAACAGCCCGGGCAGCTCCTTTTGAACCTGTATTTTGGCAGCCTGTTGGAGAAATCAGGTCGATGCGACGACGAACGCTCGACTGTATTGTAGAGGTACATACATGTCCGGTTGGGCCACAGGATCGGAAAGTCTAATTACCTTATATAACGTTATTTCGAGTTCGATGAAAGGCCTCCAAGTACCCCATTCAGATGTAGTACCGCATACAAGAGGAAGACAAAATAGGTACAGAGACACTATGCCTTGCCTTGAAGCCTACATCAATTTCTGAAAGAAACCCTTATAAAGACTAAAAGTATTGTAGGCTTCTAGACTGTTATGTCTATACTATAACTCTTAACATACATCATTGTAGGAGGAAAGGTAGGATGTACTCTATCGTGTCGTTTAAGTATTGTTACTTACCTAGGTACTTTAGTGTCTTTCACGGCCTCTTTTGCCCTGGTTTGGTCGGTGATGGCGTGACCATTTAATAACATGCCGAACGACTTGTTACGCCTCGGACCACCGAGCATCTCCTCTAGCGCGCATAGAGAATTTATGAAGGATGACCACGACGAGGCAGCGTAGCTGCCGTACACGAATGAGAGACGAGATGAGAAAAGCGGAGCCTCGCTACCCTGCTACCACGAATGGCTTGAAACGATTGGCTGGGAGCCGAAGCTCGCATAGAGAATATGGCGAGAACCAAGGTTTGGGGCTGTGCAATTTCATGCCAAGTGCGCTTGACTCAATACGTACTAGACATAGAATTGCACTTTCGGTGTCGGTCAGCTGAACCCCTGTTTACTTTTGCACACCGCAACCTTCATGCGTGTCGTTATAACCGCAGCATATATCCAGAATCGCACAATGGCTTCTCTGGAACAGAGATCGATCTACCTGGCTCCAGTAGCAAGTTCATACAAGCCGAATACTCTCACTAGGCAGCCACGCGCGCACCGCAGCTTTACGATCGCACTTTCGCACTTTAAATGTGCACACTTAACGGCACGTAAAAAGGTGCACTTTGCAGTCGCAACATTATAAAAGATGACGAAGGACTGGGATTTGGTGCAGGATGTGATCAAGGAGCTTTCTTTTGTGCAAAAAAAGCCCTTGGAAGAAGTCAAAGAGCTAATGGAACGCAAACACAAGTTTCGGGCTTCGTAAGTGTTCGAAGAGATGGAGATATGCTGTCATTATTGCTAACAACTAGTATAGAACGCGAGCCTATCGTATGAAACTGAAAGAATGGGGTATCATGAGGCACAAATCGCGAAAGATCACAAGACAGCGTCGTGAAGCACGACTACCAAACGAACAAAGTTCAAGCGAGACGGATCAGCGCAACGACGAATCCGTCGAGCCAGCTGAAGTTATCACAATAGAACCTGAGTCTAGGGAACATTGCACGAGGACTGGGGGCTGGCAGGTGGTGGCTAGTCTGCCGGCTTTAATCGCTGATGGAGCTGGTACCGTTGCGGAGCCAACTTTTCTGGGACTGTTGAGTCAGCCACAAGAGTACGGAGATCCCTGGTCTTCTCCATGTTTGTATTGCGTGTTCGCTAACCATGCAGTAGTCTGCAGCCATCGTTCGAGGAGACATGGTCGCACGATCCTGCGCAATCTTCAGACATAGTACTGGACATGGTTGGTGCAGTCTTGGAAGGCAGTCTACAAAAGCTCGAGAAGCTTCTTGTCGGTAACGTTGATCATATCAACGATCCCATAGGTCTGCCTTTCGAATCAGGTGCTCGATTTGCTGACCATCATGCTTTGAACGAGATGGTCATACTCCAACACCCGGATCAGACCTTGTTCGATATCGCTTGTGGCATGCCTTGCGGACCGATTATATGGGTCTTGTTCGCTTACGGTGCAAAAGGCTCCAAACACCCACTCGGAACAGACCTAGCCTTGCACAATGCTATCAAGAACGGCAGAGCTTATACTGTTCAGGCGCTGCTTCAGCCGGGTCGCTCAGACGTTAACGGGCTTCCAGGCTCGAGCTGGAGTCCTTTACGTCAAGCAGTATTCTGGAACGTTCCCGATGTTGTCCAGATCCTTCTTAACCGAGGTGCAAAGGTCGATGATGCTGGCCCTGCGCCTGGGAAACCCGGTGTTCACACGGCATTACAACTATGCTTGTTACATAGAATGAACACTTACATGGATCCCGCCGCTCGGAAAAGCTGCCATATGATTATGGATATGCTTCTTAGCGCTGGAGCGGACATTCATTGCAAGCCTCCGGAGCTCGTCATTCCGTCGAATTTTGCCATGTTCGTCAAGCCATGGGAAAATCGTCCATACTGGGCTTTTGAGCTCTCGCCAGATGAGCTCGACTGTTTTCGAATGTTCATCAGCAAGGGCGCTGAATTCCCATCACACTTCCAAGGGCACCCCTGCGAGTCTCCCTATAAGCATACGTTTGAGCACCAGGCGCTGTGGCATTCGACTCCTACTTTTGCGAGATGGCTTATTGATAGTTTTATGCCGACACCCATCAATAATGGCAGCTCCCTCCTATATGAGATATTGGGCTGCTGTCCAAATGAGAAACGGCATCCAGCCGATACTTTACGCGACATTCAAGTGCTCCTTCAAAAAGGCGTAGATCCAAATCGAGCCACGCGAGACAGCATCAGCCCTTTGCGTAAGTGCATTGCGGATTGCCCTGCCGTAGATCTTGTTCCACGTCTTCAGATGCTTCTCGATGGGGGCGCAGATCCTGAAGCCGAAGATGCGGATGGCGTCCAGCCGTTTGTTCGGGCGGCAGAGACATTCGAAGAGCCGCTTCTTTCCAAGGTCATGTCAGCGCTGGTGTCGAAGATTCCAGGAAAACAAGTACGACACATTAATGGTATCTCACATACATGGTCCGTAGGCCACTTCCCAATCTCAGAAGCGCAGACATACGATCAAGTCATAGCGTGCACACGCCAAACGGGCGACTTTATGCTCAACCTGCGGAGGATGGTTCCGGAACATATTCAAAGCATCTTCCAGCGAGCTTACTTCGATGTCGTAAGCAAATACTTCCTAGAAACGATGACCAAGGTGGCGAAATCCAAGATGCTGAGCTCGAAAGAGAAGGACGAGATCGTTTGGGTTGTCTCGATGCGAGATGGAGTCGATCTACCAAATTACAACTTCGACCAAAAGCTCGTCATTGCGTTGCTGGACCCACAACCAATACCAAGCGTGATGCTTGGGTCAGAGACCGACCCTGGTAGGACTGCTTCATCGAAATCCAATTCAGTGAGCGCTGCAAGCTCTCCAGCATCTAGCACTACGATCACTGGAACAGCCACCGACTCTGGAGTTCATACCCCCTTCCAGTTCAATGCTAGCAAGTCAACAACCAGAAAAGACCCCCCGATATCTACTGAATCGCCTGAATGGATTGACGACTTCTTTGTGGCATCTACGACACAAATCCGATGGCGCGACCCATGTGCACCACCCAAACCAGGGGATATTCAGAAAGCTACAGCAGTCGTTTTAACATGCAAGTGTACAACTTGTAATGACGGAAAGCTTCTCACGAAAGGTGAGCTGGAAAGACACAAGACTGAACACGAACATACGGCGGACTGCGATATAGTTGGTTGCAAGAGGCGCTTTTGCATTGAAAGACGAACTTGGGCAAATGGTGTGAGATGTCAAGATCATTTGTTCGGTGGTTGAGAATCGCCATTCAATTAAAGACACAGTAATACATATGCAAACACGCTTCTTGTATCCTCTAGCATTCCTTCCCCTTACAAGCCACTGAGACCCAGCGCCAAAGCAGCAAGCAAACTGTTTAGCAGCGCAATAACGCCCGCCAACACAACATTAAGCACCAACTGTACCGCCAAGATCAACAAACCCAGCGCACTCGTCAAGGGGTTGATGAAAATCAATAGTCCAGCGAGACCCAGAATTGCAACGGCAGCCGTAATCGTAGCGAAGATCTCAACGATGATGAGAGCAAGGAGAGCGCCCACAGCAATCAGTTGGCGCTTCTCTTTAGGTTGAGACGCGTCGACATCGGTGGAGGAGCGTTTTTCGTTTCCGTTGGCTGGCACCATGGGCTGTGTGGCGTTCGCAGGAGCGAGTTCGCGGATCTCAGACGTGGTGGAAGTAATAGCCGCGGTGATCTTGTTGAGTTGCTCGCCTACTTGGGGGATGGCGGCAGTCTTTTCAAGAATAGAAGAAGAAGTCGAGAGCGGAGCAAGAGTAGCATTGATGGCTCCCGTGTAGATTTGTACAGTAGCGAAGAGATCGGTGAGCAGGGACTCTACACTGCTTTCTTGACGCTTCTGTTGTACAACCGGGCTAGCAAGGGACAGGCCGCTGAGGGCGAAGACGGCGAGGTGGGAGAAACGCATTTTGGCGTTGTGTATGGAGTTCTTTTCGAATTAGGAAGGGATATTGAAGAAGCGGGTGGCGAAATATGCACAGGAAGGATATTGAGCGAGTGGATCGTGATGAGTCTCAACTAGTAATGAGAACAATACTCTTATATGCTTCCCACCTCTAGCACTCCAAACTTGTTTATACATGGCAGATGTTGACTCTGAGTTTCGCATGAGCAATGCTCGTCATCGTCAATTTCCCAGGGTGAAGGAAGCTCGAAATGGACATAGTCCGGGTATGCGGTTCGGACTGTTTTCTCGATGGGGAGGGATGATCGTCATAGGCGGACCCAGAACTATTGATAATACTTATCCTTGCTGTATATCACTTACACTCGCTTCGCTTCTGAAAAACCGTACCAGGACTACGATGCATTACAATTGCTGGAACATGTAAGTATAGAAATGCTGCGATGTCGTTCCTGCTGAACAGAGAGAAAATACTAGCTTCTGCTCAATGTTTTAATGACAGTAAGTGCAAGTGTGAAACTCGCTGCAGCACGTGTACGTTCTTTACTTGGACCAGTCAAAACACGTTCAGGGCCAAATCATGGATAGTGAAGACGCTTGTAGCCGGTATCCCGCACGCGGTGGTTTGATCTAGTGCCGTATACATCGTGTACGCCTATTCCGCGGATGTCGCCCCTTGTCAGCCACGCTAGTCAGACTGCGAAAAAGGAGAAGCGACGTCATGCCAGCACGAAGCTTGACAACCAAGCTTAATCACCGGTGGTAGAAACCCCTGAGCTCCATTGTCATTGGCTGCGCTCAACTCCATTGGTGTTTCCAGACACCCGGTATCCTTGTAGATTCTTTGCACGCACGATGTGATAGACTACCGCATACAGGAAAAAATTTGACAGGTATAGAAGTAACGAGTTGTATTTTACAACCTACATTAGCTTCTAATAAGAAAACTTATAAAGATTAATAGGTCTGTAGACTCCTAAATTCTCTATTTGTATATACATAGCTCTTATCATGCTTTCTTGTAGTGGGAGGAAATATTTTTCTGAAGAGGAACGTTTGGTTCTCTTCTTTGATAAGGAGAATCTAGAAAGAACGAGCTTCTTCGTGCGACAAGTTTAACAGGAACATGGTGAGCGATGCAAGGTCTTCAATAATACGCCTACGAATGCACCTACGAATGCTGTTTGCAAAACGCCCTGAGGATAATCCTCACCCACCTTTGGTCATTCCGTCCAAGTCATCTGTGTTCATCGTCATTTACAACCTCCTCATCAGTCATATCCGTCTAATCTAAAAGCTCCCTTTTCCATCACCAAGCCTATGAACGCGACCTGTACACTCAGTCGAACGATACAGTATTTCTCCATTGAGGTATACGAAGCCTCAGACGTCTTCTGGTTTCTTTACTTGTTCTCACTCGTCGCCAACGAGCCTTATTTCAGCTACTTCGTCGTCCTGATGTGTAATAGGTGTGTTGACACCACTCCAACCACTCTTTACTGGGCCGTCGTCACCAAAGTCCTCCATCAGCCTATTACCCAAGCCACCTTCGTCAGCTTCTGAACCCAGAGCGCCAGTATCGGATGCAATGCCGTCATCGTCAGAGTCGTTGCGACCACCCAAGCCCGTGCTATTGAGGCTGTTGAAGCTCCAGACTGGCTGGTCAGTATCATCCCAGACATTAGTGCCGGTGTTGTACGGGATCTCGTCAGCGTAACCCTCATCATCGGCATAGGCCGGCAGCTCTTCTTCATCACTCTGGCTCGCGGCTGCGACTCCGTTCTTTGGACGGTTCGCGGCTGCTGAGCGCGGATAACCACCCGCGCGCAGGGCTACGGCTCCCGCTGCGACTGCGCCAGCGCTCGACGACCCATTGCGGGACGAATCGCCGAGGCGCAAGCCGTTTCCCGCCGGTGAGCGGGAGCGAAGTTCTGTGTCGTTATCTTCGTCAGAGCCGGGGTTGCTGATGTCGGCGGTTACAATCTGCTGAAGGGAGGGAGGGCCTAAAGGGACAGGCGAACGGCGTCGGTAGAACAGAAGGTAGGCTGATCTTGATACAGCTTTCCGCCCCGATTCGCATTTGGTCACTATTGAGTCTGGTGAAGTTAGCATGGACATAACGACGTTTAAGAAGCATGAGGATAGGCTTACCATTGTAGTCGTACCACTGCTTGTCGAAGAAGTTCTGCGCAGTGGCTGTGTAATGACCGCCTCCAAGCCCACCGAAGTGATTGTCGACAGCGAACAGATCGTAAGTGAGATCCTTGCCCTCAGAGAAGCCGACTTTGCCAGACAAGTCTAGTCCCTCTATGGGGAAATCGACCAAATCCTCAATCTTGTCTCGGAAGTTTCTCGCTCCACTGAAGCGCTTGAGATGTATGATGAGAATGTCGGGAACAGTCCAGATCTCGAGTGTTTTTGTTGCCCTACGCCTTTCCTTACAACGGCTGCAGTACCACGCGTTGTCTTCCGAGAGCACTTCGCTCTTGGAGGATTCATTGAAACACTCATCGAGATTGATGCCATGCTTGCGACGGGCTGCACGCTTCTCTTTCTTCTCCTGAAGCTCTGGGTCATCAAGGAGTTCAATAGACTTCATCGAGTCCGCGCCCCTGGGATCATCTGCCGTCGTGGCCCCAAACAGTGCGTCATAAGCTTTGGAATCCCAATCAAGAACAAGAGCCTCGCCCATTCGAAGCAATCTTTCGTCAGACTCGTCTTCAGGATCATCCGGATAGTTCGGTTGGTCTGGCACCTTGCCTGCTTTCTTGTTCTTGAAGTTCTTGTTGTTTTTGTGTTTTCGTTCCATCTTGCGCTCGTGTTTGCGCGCTTTTTTGCTCTTCTTCTTATTCTGGCGGCCAGACCGAGCGAACTCTGGAGCTTCTGGCTCGATGGACTGCATTTCCTCGTCGCTACTAACATTGGCTGCATCGATTACTGCGTCCGCATCAACGATCGTGGCCTGGGATGCATCCTCATCTTCGTCGCTGGAAGTAGTCTCGCTTCCAGCAGCAGACGATTGTACAGATTCCTCTCGGGATGATGGTATCTTGATTCGCTTCGAGATAGGTTCAAGTGGTTTTGAGTAATCGACGGTACTCCAGCCAGTGGTAACGATCTCCGAGCTCTTCCTTGTATGCTTCATCTCAAACAGATTCCTGTCTCAAGTCAGTTTGTTGTTGCCAAACCTAAAGCGACTCTCCTGTATCTCTGCGCTGCTAAACCTTGAGGGGGATGCCTTGTACGTACCTGAACTCCGGATGGATATAGCTGCCCGGTCGAAGAATCTCAGGAATTTCATCAGCTTCGTTAGTTCGAGCTACAGGCGTATCCTTTGCATCCGTCATTGTAACCTCAACCATGTCCTCGCCTTCAACAGATCCATCTTGGACTTGGGGATCGTTTGGTGATGCGTCCTCTTCTGTTGTCAACACAACGTCGGACCCAGGACGCGACTGGTCTTGTCCACTAAGCTCACTGAGAATTGGGCGAGTAGTCATCCCAGCAACCCTAGCCAAAACCTTTCGGAGGATTGTGTCATAATCCTTCGCTTCCTCCCTGGTGAGGACGATAAAACTAGGCCACAATGCCATGGACTGCCCCGTCGCCCTGTATGCAGACTGGCTGGGTATCCGGTGGAACATTGGGAATACAACGCGGTCATGGAGCGGTGAAACTGTCTCCGGAATCTCCTCATCAGAGGACTGTGAAAGCATCACACGATATTTGGAGCCCTTCTTCTTAGGAACTGGCCAGTTGCTAGGAGCCATTTCCAATTCATAAAAGTAGATGTCATCTCGTGCGCCTATGTTCGACTCCGCTATTGTGGAAGCGTCGTCCAAGTGTCGATAGTATTTGTGGCTGTAGACCTCTGACGCCATTATGCGGTTGGCTGGAACGCCGCCACCGCGCTTGCCGACAAAGTCTTTCAAAGCTTTGATTGTGGTGTTCTTGTCGACGTCAAGCTCGATCTGGACAGGCTTGCCAGTCAGTGGCACGTAAGTGATGGTATGAGACCAGGACTGCTCTACCGGCAGCTGCAAGGTGAGCTGACTGTATGGGTCGAAAGTAATGCTGACTTTCTCGCAATCTGGGCATACCATGGTGTTCTTGTAGAATCCATTGAACAAATCCATGGCTACAGAGTCGTTACGCGCCCAGTAATTTTGTCTATAAATCTCACCGAGTCGCTTGACTGCCTCTGGATCGCGAAAGGTATTATCATCAGAGTCGGGATTCTCTAGGTATGGCTTCTTGATGATACGATTTAGATCTTCATGGAGCGCATCGACCAGCCAGCTGACGAACTCTTGAGAGTCCTGCTGCCCATAGCCAGAGAACATTGGGTTAGCCCTGCCTAGCTTGAGCTTAAAGTCCTTGGGCGAGACGGAGGAATTGTTGTCCAAGCCATAAATAGAGCTCAGTAGCCCGGCATACGACTTGGCGATGACACCTTTGAAACCGATGGGATTGTCCACGTTGACTTCGTCCTTCCATTTGTTGTTTAGGAAGTACATGCTTAGCTCTTCGACACTTCGTAGACATTGGAGAGCGGAGTTCATGTAACACGTGTTGCCAAGATTCGTAAGCCCGACGTGGCCACGAACTTTGCCATTCTGCTTCCTTCCACGCGTTACAGGGCCTCCCGTTGGAGTACTCCTCCCGCTGTTAGGATTGCTCTTGCCGACCAAAGCATTAGTCTTGCTCTTTGACGCCGTTTTGGTGGTCTCTGCTATGTATTCGCCTTTTTCATCGTGTTCCTCAAGTACAATAATTTGGTCCTGGGTCAAACCAGCATCGGCCAAGGTAAGGTCCTCGTTGGAAGCCTCGTTGTCTTTCTCATCTTTGCCAGTAACCAGCTCGCGCTCCGAGCCAAAGGCAAGGCCATTGAAACTTTCGACGCCCATGACAAGCGAAGGCCGCTGAGCAGGTGCTGGCGCAATGGGAGATCCGTTACGAGGGGACGCGTCAGGTGTTAATATGCCAGAGGGTTGCGATGGCTGGGGCTGATCTGTGGGAGCAGGCGTGAGTATCCGCCAAATGCGGACTTTGTTGTTAAGATCAATGCCGGCGGCTTTTTTCGCGGCTTCAATGAAGGCAACGAAACTCTCGTATCTGCTCGCAACGAGCTTTGCGGCTGGTGTGGCGCTGTCGGTGGGGTTTGGAGATTTTCGCACTTTTCGGATTGTGAAGATGGGAGGGTGCAGCTCGTAGGAAATGTCTTCGCTTACTCCTCCTGGTACCGTGTTGTGGGCGTACCGACGTATGATAGGACTTGACTTGTCGAGCCCATACCAGCTTTGAACCAAGTCCCATGCTTTGCGGGGCAGGATCTCAAAATCTTGACCCAGAGTCGCCGCCTTGCTGAGCGGGACAAAGTCTTCTCCATGCTGGTCGACCAGGTCCTCATGCATCAGCTCTGTGTCGACAAGATGCGAATTGTCTACCGCGCCGACAGGGCCCTCGGTTGCGTCTTTGCTGAAGTCATTTGGCCTGCTTATGTTTTCCGACGTCCTTGCCCAGACACGCTCTAGCCACTGCTCGGAGATAACATAGCCCTCCTGCCGGTCCACCAGAGCCTCTGTAGACATCATGCCCATGACGCGAGTCACCTGCTCGTCGATGCTGGGCATGTCGGTACGTGGAGAGGCGTCGCCGTGGCCGTCGAGGCCGCTGCCGTTGGGCGCATCGGCCATCTCGACCGAAGTTGCGCGCGCACTGCGCTGTGATGTGCTTGTAGGCAGGGGCTTGCCGGCTCGGGAGCCCGACTGCGCGTCGTTGGTGCGTGTGTTGTCGGCGTCTGGCTTGTCGTCCATGTCTGAATGGAGGCGCTTGGCGGGTGACGATGCCCGTGGAGGAGGCCTCTGCGAGTGTTGCTCGGCGGTTCGTATGCGGTCGAGATCGGTGAAGGAGCCCTCGCGGCTGTCGAGGGTCAGGTTGGCGTAGGCCTCGCTGGGTGAGCTTGCCCCCGTGTAATTGCTGTTGTCTCTCGCGGCAAGACTTCCAGAGTCAGGAGCGTCAACTAGAACTTCGTCGTGCAGGTGCGGTGGCAGATAGCGCGGTGGTGACGCTGAGGGTTGCGGGGAGGAGCGAGGGGACCCTACACCGACGCTTCCCACATTCGGTGAATGGTTGCCGTCGAGGTTGGACGAATCTTTTGGCGGGACCACGATCTTCCGCTTCTTGTTATTAGTGGAGGCCGTTTTGAAGCTGATTGCCTACCGTGAAGCCCGCGAAGAGCTTCAAGGCAGATTATACAAGGCGAACCAAGGAGGGTGAAAGGGCAAGCAAAAGGCGGAGAAAGATTATGCAGCGCGTAGCTAGGGCCGCAGTACCAAGAGAATGACGCCTGTTTGTTCACAAACACAGTAACACGGCGGTGAAGCAAACGTGGGGTAAAAGCGCAATGTCCGCAAAAATGAGAGCAGCGCCGTGCTATACGCCGTCGTCACTATCGGCTTCGAATCCCTCAGCCTTGCGGAGTAAGCGAGCTTGGCGACGCGGTGAATGCTCCACCCCTGTCGCGTATCTGACAGGACTGAACACTTGTTGGTCACCATCCATATAAAGCAAACCCAGAACAGGTGCACAACTAACAAGTTATCTTACAGAGCTCTGCCTTACAGCCTACATCAGCTTGTAAGCGCAGGATGTACACAGTTTGATAGAATTGTATGCTTCTAGGTCCTCCATCTATATACAGAGTACTCGTATCAGACTTTGCTGTGCTGAGAAAGGGTGTTCATGAAAAGGTGTTCAAGTCCTCTCATGAATTCACGTTTCCGCTAAGGCTCTTTTCCTTTTTCAAACATCACTTTGGTACATCATCAGACCTGACCATGTTAATTTTGCTTGCACAAGTCATGAACAAAGAGATGTGAAACGTATTGCAATCATGCACAACAGTGATTGAGCCTCGCTCAACAGTCATTATACTGTTAGCGCAGCAGTCTATTGGTATCTATGATACAGAGACTGGGTAGATCTGTCACGTTTCATTTCGACCCGCTGCTGTTCAGCCATGCAAAAGCAGAAGCGCCGCCAACTGGGTTCGCGGATCGAGGTTTCGACAATGCAGGCACGTTTTCCCTGCCCCTTTCTCCAGACACAGTCCTCTTCACCTGAGGAGGCGCAAGGTCACTGGTCGCTTCGCCCTCACCCCTTCGCTTTCCATCATCAAAAAAGCGCGACTGTCCTGTGACTGGCGATGAGTTTGACGTGGATAACGTACGTGTCGATCTAGAGGGCTTCAGAACTTTGATGCCTGTATCACGTCGCTGATAACTGGGATTTGAGCTGGTAGTTTTACCCACATTAGCCCAATCCAAAGAGCCCGTGTTTGCCTTCTCTGCTTGGTCACGGCGCCAATTGCTCCAGATAGCTGGAGAGGCTCCTGTGCGCGGCACTCCACTAGCAAGGCCTGAGTCTGGAGCACCTTTGGCGTCAGAGCGATTCGATGTGGAGAGTCCGAGTTGAGGTCGCTGTTCAAGACTACCGTGTCCACTGAACCCGCCATCATCAGAACTAGTCGCTGGCCCTTGGCCATTCGACTTCTCAGTCGACGAATAAGGTTCACGAGTTGCTGAAGCGGCGGAACTCTCGATCATGTGGCTCGACTGCGTTGAAGCAAGAGCTGAAGTTGTGCGGTTTAGATGCGCCGTGGAAGCACCGCTAGTGTGCAAGAATTTGAAAGCGCGATCATCTTCAGGGCGCACGAGTGGTATCTGAAGCTTGCTGCGGTCATCATCATACAGTGTTAGTTGGCTAGAAGAGAAAAGAAGATCGGCGTTATGCTCTCGAAGCATATCGCTGCCAAGGAAAATTTGAATAGCTTTTGGATTGACTTCAGCATTGTGCTCCTCAGTGACAGTGAAATTCACCCCCACCGAAGGAAGCTGCGGAGCTGGACTGTCGGATCGCGAAGACGCTGAGATAGGCACGGCCTCTGGGAGATATACAGAGAGCTTGATTTTGCGAACACCATCCTCGCCTATAACGACGCGATCCTGGAAGCCTAGATGGTGGACCATGTAAGAGTCCAGATGCGATGTGTATGAGCCTGAACACACTGCTGCGTACAACAGGGTATCGTGCCTGAAGTTAGTGTTGAGCCAGCAACGTATTATGGCAGGAACGGAGCCGAGAATGAACAAGCCAGGAGCCAGCCCTGGGGCGTCTTGAAGCGTTGTCGGTCCAAAGCTAGTAAGACTGTTCGCGCGACCAGAGGCCATGGAGTGTACCGAGTGGCCAGCAGAGCTCTGCCTTCCATCTGATTTGTGAGAGTAGCTGCGCTCGCTCATGACATGGCCGCCCATGCCACTGCCAGTGCGGGGTATCAGGTCCAACGACGACCTCGATGCATGTGCCCAGTGACCGTGGTTGGCCGTCTCGTCGAAGCGAACACTATTCGCACGGGATGTGGCGCCTACGCGACGAGGCTCTTCATCGGCGTCCAGCTGCAGGTTGCCAATGAGATTGCTGGACTGGTCGTCGAAGTTTGTAAAGTGCTCGGCGGTCGGCTGCTGCAGGGGCACTGATATTCGTCAGCCAGGCTTTCATGTTCCGATCTATACTTTCTCACCCTGTTGAGGGGTTCCCCCCAACACCGAAGGGAAGGGCGATGATGTCCCCCAGACGTTCTTCAGGCGCGAGTCGTCTTCGTGCTTGCGCTCCAAGCGAGCGACGCGATCAGCGAGGTCGGCTTGGTTCTCCTGCACTCGGAGCATCTCGCTTTGGAAGCGCCAGAGATCGTCGCGCGGCTGGAAGGCTACGCTCTGGGGATCCATTCCCGTTACTCTCTCATCCCTTGGTGACGTGCTCAACAAAGAGACACCAGCCTTCCCTCGGGGGTTCCCCAACCAACGAACACCGAACAACGACTGGAACCGACCTCAGCTTGCTCTATATGTACTTGTTCCGGGTTGGCAATCTGAGGGTTTGTCCTGTGCGAACGTCTCGATCGGCGGTAACGAAGAAGCGGCAAGGGTATGTTTGAAGGCGGCTATCGAACGGTAACGCGTTTGGTTTGGAGGTGTGACTAAGATGCGCGAAGAGTTTGCAACAGTTTTGGGGCCTCAGAGGGCAAGCGCCAGGCGTTGGTCGATGTAGTCAGTTGGGGTGTTGGAAGCAGCAGGTGCGATCTTGCAACAACGCTCTTTACCGAAGATCAGGCGGTTTCCGAAGTGGCCCTAAGAAAATGGGCAAAGTATTGTACAAGACCCCAGAAAAATTTGGTACAAGAACAGGAACGAGAACAGTCGACTGCAGGAATGATGATGCGTATTGTCGTCGCGATGCTATTCTGAGGCTCATGGGGAACGACGCCGCCACTAACCACATGCTGCCGGAGTTATGCACCCCTGTCTGATTGGTACAGCCAGGGGCCTTCCCCAGAGCCCCGCTTTGTCGGACCTTCAACACATATAATTAAACCTGCTCGTGTACGCGATTTTTACCCTTCTGATGCATAGTCTAAGATGTCTGAGTGGCTTCCCATGCCTTCCATGCTTCTTGATCATTCCAAGGCGGCAATACCATGGGTAGCTTTTCGGGCATCTGATCCGGCCACTGCTGTTCAACTACCTTCATCAATTCTTGATAGAAGATATCATAGCCTGCCGGGTTGAAGTGGAGGCCTACAGGTCAAGTCAGCACGGGAACGAAGGCGAGAATGCCAGGCAGATGTCATACCATCGTACATGAGCTCCACCAAGGCGTCATTCTGCGCAACATCTAGAGACCCAGGCAGCTGATCACCGAGCTTCCAAGCGTCTGCCTTGAAGTCCGTCTTCGCCATGAAGGTTTTCCAAAGATTCACGACGGGAAGATTGAGCTCAGCGCCAAGCTCGACAACTGCATCGGCATATGCTTTGGTCGTACTGGCTAGACGCGAGACGCTAGTATACCCGTTCGACTGGTCTCTTGGCCACCAGAGATGCTCGTTGATTGGGGGCGGAGCAACCAGGATGATACGAGGGTTGTGAGCTTTGATCTTTGGATGGAAAATGATGTCCTTCAAGTTCTGAATAAACTCGTCGAGCGGAATGTGCTGCTTGTTCGGCGCATCTGGTAGGGACGAGTCGTTGGCACCGAAGAAGACGGTCTGCGTTATTAGTTGGGGTGGTGTCCGACATGGGCAAGTCTTACCATGAACCGGATCTTAGCCTGATCTGGCGGAGGCACGATCGCAGGGAGTATCTGGAGAGCTTGGCGCGTGTTGTACCCACTGCCGTAGTATTAGTCCTGGCTACAACTGCAAGAATAGGACGTCATAACCTAAAGCCGCGATTGACTACATCGAGTCGTCGTATGTATGCTGGTAGGGTATCAGCGTCCGTTTGCAGCGGTCCGAGCCAGTGATCAGCATGGAAGCTTCACGAAGAACTGTATCAGGCAAGAAAGAGCGACCCGGGAGAAGATGATGACATGTCGACTGACCAGCTTGGAGGGCTGCAGAGAAACCGAAACCGCGCTCTTGGGAGAAGGAATCTTGGGTTATGCTGTCTCCAAACAGCAGGAATTGTTCGTATAGAGCAGGCTATGGTTATCAGTGTGTGTTTTTTGGAACGCCACTAAGGCCCAGCAGAACTCACCATCTTGAATGCTACAGAGGGATGTAGGTTCGATCGTCGTCAGACCTTCCACAATGTTTTGCTAGTAACTCGAGGGATGCTACTCGGCGAATTCCCGGTCTTCCGAAACCGGCTTTCCGAGTTGTTCCTTTGGAATCCTCAGATCAGCGGCTCAGCAGCAGACGAATGCACGAGCGGATAGGAAACGACAAGTTTGCCAGCATGTAACCCCCCAATTCTCCCGAGTTGCAGACGCAAGTCAGTGTGTGGTGGTGGGGCTGGGGGCTGCGATTGGCGGCTACGATATCGCGCCTTGGCCGTGTGTGGTTAGCAGGTTCCGTTTGCCCTGCATTTCGTCACTATCGCGTGCAACCCTGATAATCACATGGGACGCGCCTACCGCCATTTCCCCGATTAGTCGCCTGAGATCAGCCTCAGAGTGCTGCCTGCAGAGAGCTGCTGCTTTTGCTGCTTTTGCTGTTTTGTGCGGATCGCTGCGATGCGTACGCAAGTCTGAAACTGTCGGCTTACCCGCGTCGGTGCGTATCGCTCCCCGGACCAAGGACAACAACGCATCCTGGAGGGATCCGCGGCGTAGTGGGGATGAGCCATGGTGCCCAGCCATAACATATCCATCGTGACACCGCCATCGTTTTCCGAATGACCACGATAGCGGCTTCTGCTCGGCGACATGTCTCTGACCGACCTCGATACTAATAGACTGCTCTTGCCCAGATTGTAGCTGCCTCCCTTATACACTCGCTCGCCATGCCCAAGTCGATGCAGTCGTACCGCAGTGTCGACGACTACGACGCCGACGACGCCGACGATGACTACGCTGCCGAGCAGCGCGAGCGCGATGACACGTTCAGCAGCACCACGCCCACGTCGCCCACGCTCACCTTCAGCGCCCAGAGACCGATGCGTGCCTCGGACACGGATCTCACCCGCTCCACAGGCAGCGTCAACGAGCGGACCGCCCTGCTAGGAGTCCCTCACCTGCGGGGCGCCAGGTCCTACAAGAGCCTTCCTGCCACAAGTCCGGGCACGCCTCGACCGGGCATGACGCGTAACAACAGCCAACTGCCCACCAGCTCGCGCATGCGGAGCCGGAGAGGATCCCTTACGGGCGGACACACGTTTAGTCAGCGGCTGGTGAATGCCCTGGGTGAGCGAGGCGCCGGCCTGGAGCAGAGTATGCACTCAGCAAAGGCCTCGTTCCTCCAGGACAACCGCGTGTGGTACGATCAGTTCACGTCCACTGATTGGGTTCATGATAACATCGCCGACGCGTATCGCGTCAAGGCGCTACGAAGTAGAAAAGACATCAGGGGGCGCTTGGCCGCGTGGTTCGATGGAGCCCAGGGCTGGGTACTGGTGGCCCTCATTGGCGTCCTGACTGCCGTCTGCGCCTACTTGGTCAACACTACCGAGACCACGCTGTTCGACCTGAAGCAAGGATACTGCACTAAAGGCTGGAATAAGAGCCGCAAGACGTGCTGCGATGGTGCATCAGTATGCGATAGCTGGGTAAAATGGTCCGAGGCCGTCCGAAACGACAGGTTGGATGTGGTCCAAACCCAATATGGCTTCTTCGTGCTCTCCGTCGTCTTGTTGTCCATGGCCTCGTGTCTGCTCACCCTCACTACCAAGACAGTCATCCCCTCGGCCATATCGCTCTCCACACTCGACGAGAACTTGGGTGCAGAAGTGCGGAGATACTCTGATCAAGCTGAAGAAGAAGATGGTAAGCGCAGTCGCAGTATCAGTCCAGAGTCGAGGTTCCAGGAGGTTCAGGCCCGGCCGCCCATGGTTTACTATTCTGCTGCAGGCAGTGGCGTAGCTGAAGTCAAGGTCATTCTTAGCGGCTTTGTTCTCCACGGTTATTTGGGTGTGCGGACTCTGCTCGTCAAGACGCTGGCACTGATCCTAAGTGTCGCATCAGGTCTCAGTCTTGGTAAGGAAGGTCCGTATGTGCACATCGCGACTTGCATAGGAAACATCGCGTGCCGTATCTTCTCCAAGTACAGTAACAACGATGGAAAGCGCAGGGAAATCCTCAGCGCTAGTGCTGCTAGTGGTGTCGCCGTTGCTTTCGGTGCTCCCATTGGTGGAGTGCTCTTCAGCTTGGAAGAAGTCAGCTATTACTTCCCGTCCAAGACGCTCTTCAGAACCTTCTTCTGCTGCATCGTAAGTCACCTCTTTCCCACACTGGCTAGGCTAATTTGTCAATAGGCGGCTGCTCTGTCTCTCAAATTCCTGGATCCATACGGCACCAAGAAGATTGTTCTTTTCGAGGTTCGATACCATTTGGATTGGAAATTCTTCGAGCTTGCGACCTTCGTCTTCACCGGTGCCGTCGGTGGTGTCCTCGGCGCATTGTTCATCAAGGCATCTCGCATCTGGGCACGAACATTCCGTCGTATACCCATCATCAAAAAACACCCGCTTCTCGAAGTATTTCTTGTTGCGCTTGTCACCGGTCTGATCAGCTTCTGGAACCGTTACACCAAGCTTCCAGTCACGGAGCTTTTGTTCGAGTTGGCTAGTCCATGTGATATCTACACGGACAGTGGTGACGGTCTTTGTCCTACAGTCGAACACATCCCAAGCGTGCTCAAAGTTTTGTTCTTCGCATTCGTCATCAAGGCGCTTCTGACCGTCGTCACCTTTGGCATCAAAGTGCCAGCTGGTATCTATGTACCTTCCATGGTTGTAGGTGGTCTTGCTGGACGCTTCATTGGTCACACCGTGCAACTTGTTGCCCTACGTTTTAACCACTTTGGTCTTTTTGGAGAATGCTCCGCCGATGGGACACCAGGTCAATGTGTTGTTCCTGGAGTTTACGCTCTAGTAGCTGCTGGCGCCACAATGACAGGTGTTACTCGTCTGAGTATCACCTTGGCAGTCATCCTCTTTGAGCTCACAGGCAGCTTGGATCACGTTCTACCTTTCTCTCTCGGCATCCTTGTCTCCAAATGGGTAGCCGATGCCATCGAGCCACTAAGTATCTACGATCTGCTCACAGACATGAACTCATATCCCTTCCTCGACAATAAGGTGCGGCCGATTTTCACATCTGAGCTTGGCGACATCACCACTGGGAAAAGACAAGATCACATCATAGACATCTCGGAAGATGCACTTATCCCCGCCGTCGAACTTCGTGCAAAGCAACGTAGACTACAAATGATAGGCGAACTTGATGGTGGCCTATCAATTATTAAGAATGGCGTTCTTGTTGGTCTCATTCCTGCACCGGACCTGGAATTCGCCCTTGATAAGCTAGAAAATGAGGAGAACACACTTTGCCTCATGTCGCCACGGGTAGACTGGGCTGCAGGGCGGGAGCCGCAAGATGAAGAAGAGCAAGACGCGTACGATCCTAGCGACTTTACACCATATATTGATCCGGCGCCTGTTGCATTGGACGTCCACTCACCAATGGATCTGGTGTACGAGTGCTTCGTGAAGCTTGGGTTGCGGTATATCTGCGTGCTTAGGGACGGCAAGTACGCTGGTCTGGTATGTAATGCATAACGAGTAGAGGCTGAGCAATACTAACTGTAAGCAGGTTCACAAAAAGACTTTCGTCAAATATGTCAAAGAACTCGAGCACCAGGAGAAGACATTGCACTAGATTTGAATCATCGGCGTTTTAAGTTTTGTTCATCTCGTTCCGAATAGCGTCATACCCTCATTATTTTTCAGTGGTTTTTCTTTCCATTTCCAGGCCATTTCCTAGGCCGTACACTGCATTTAGACTGGCGTTGCATATAGCATGTCTTCGTAGACAACATAGCAGCACATGATAAGAGTAGAATATACATGGATTTTTCTCTCCAAAATGCCCGGGAAGCCTGTTCTCCTTCTTTTCGCTGTGAATCGCCGCACCCACCCGCTCAGTGGCCTTAGACTATGACCAGCAGTAGTGTTGAGCGCAAAAGAGAAGAAGGGAAGCGCAAAGCGGTCAGTGTGCATCGTGTTCGCGTCAACGGAGGTGGAACGGTCACAAGACAACCTGATTTAGAACAAATCTCGCGGAGATATTGGATGAAGTAGAAATGAGTGCAAAAGAGAGGAGGAGCTGGTATGAACGGGGTATTATCAAGGCCCATCCTCTCCAAACTCATCTTGTCGCATACATGGATAGCTACAGGGTCAAGGAATCCAGCCCCACCAGTCCTGTACTAGTGCTACTGTCGGTTTACCCCGCGAGTCATGCTACAAGACTTAGCACAACAATACTCGTCCCCAGGCGCGGTCAAGTCAGCCAGGCTCGGGATGCAATTCTGACAATATGAATGTTGGTATGAATTAATTCGTCATCAAAGTTAACCAGCCTTCCTAGCTCAGTGGTAGAGCGCGTCACTAGTAATGACGAGGTCGTCAGTTCAATTCTGGCGGAAGGCAATTAACATTATCTTTTTGCTTACGATGGCCGTATAGTTGGTACATCAGTTTTTTTTGTTGCTATGTGGGAATGAATGGGTATATCGTGGCATAAGCGAACAATCTTGAAAATATTTCACAGCGTACATCGCAACCTGATAGCGACCGAACAACGACTGTCAGTTGTAGAGAAAGGAATTCAGACTTGGACATGCGACGGTGACAATTGCTCATGCCGTTGAGGTTGTTGATGTTATGATTATGCGTATGCCCCATCTTCTAGCTAAACGGTGGTACCTGGGGACGCCAAAACCGGTGAAGTTCAACCTTTGACAATGCGAAGAAGAGCATCATAAAGTCACATTCCAGTCCCTATACACGGACTATAGACTGTCACTGTCGCATGGTCGTAATGAATGATAATATGTCCTATCATGATGGCTCTATAGAATTGACATATGTACAGTAGTAACGACACTAGTGCGATACTTGACGCTCGCTCAGATGTCGCACCGGAGCAGAGAAACAAGGGCTCACTAACATGATCCAGCTACAGCTGTGGTATTTCGCTCGATATGTATTGTCCGTGAGGATGCAATTGGCGTCAACTCCATGTCCTTGTCTGTATCCGTAGATCCACTTGTCACAATCGTATCGAGTTGGCGTGATCCCAAGGGTGAGTCTGGTGGTGGTAGCGCCATTCCTCTGCTGCCCTCCTCTATATCTGCTCTGGTATCATCTTTATCCTTATTCCGGAATATAATGTAAAACACGATGGTTGTGAGGGCCATAGCACCTGTAAGACTGCCGTAGAACGAGGTAAGGTAAGGATCGCGAGCTGCCTCGGCGATGACCAGAGCGATGGCCGAGCCTATACCCGTGATGAGCATGTTGATAGCCTGCACAAAGACCTTCATCTCCTTTGGCGCGTGCTTCTCTGCATACTCCATGGCTGTCGTCATAGCAAACACCTCGCCTGTTGCCATCAGGAAGTAAAGAGGCGCTTGTATCCAGACATTGGGCCGGTATCGTGCTGCGGACACACTATTTCCACAGTATGATGGGTGGTCGAAGCATGGTGGAGACTTATAGATGTAGTATTGTACCAAGGTTGCATACAGCATCGAAAGTGTGACAAAGCAAAAGCCGATGGCGATGCGAGTGATCGCCTTCAAATATATGCATCTTCTTGCCAGCAGGGGGTTGAGGACGTATTCTACAAATGGACTGATGAGTATGCAAGCCACTTGGTTCATGCCAGGGAGGATGTCGTTTGGCGTGTCTCCGGTGTTCATGTCGCTGGCTTGAGATATAAGGTTGTTCTGCATTTGATCGAAGCAGATGTAAAAAACAATAAATGCCAGGCTCGATTATAGGTCAGCATATACAAGCACATGGATCCAGTCACACTTACAGTACCCGACACGCGCTCAACGCACGAGTAATCTCATCGACGAACTGAACGGTCCATGAAACCTCTTTACCTTTCTCAGTATGCTGATAAATTGGGTCTGCGCGTTTCATCCGAAAGCCATTGCGGATAGCGCAGCTGAGAACCCTAGCTGCGGGTACTATTACATCTGCTTCCTGCGGTGGATTGACTACCTGCAGGTTAGCGTAGCTAGCGTTGAAACGCAGGATGCTGCATACCGAAAAGTTTCCTGCCAAATACCAACATCAAGAGCGCAATAACGATACAACCAAGACCAAGAGCATATGCGGAAGCGAATCCGTGGTGTTTCTCAATGTAGACGCAAGGAAATGCTGACAAAGCGCCTACGTTGCCGATCCAGAAGTATAGGTTGTAAATATATTGTAGAGTGATATCGCTGTCGATCACTACTAGTTCTTCTTTTAATGAAGTTGTAAAACATTTCGCGAGACAACTCCATTTCAGGAAACGGTTCTGAGGCGTCAGTAGTGTTATCTTCTTGGAAGTCCTATCCGTATACTGGTTGGCAATGAACGACCTCATGGTAACTTGGGTCTAAGAGAAGTCAGGATTCGCAGCAAGCGGCACTGATGATGATACTCACACCTCCGCCACCCATAGCAATCAGCAACATCGCAATAATCAGACCAGGCAAACCCGCTCCTCGATCAAGCATCACCGGGAACGAGCTGATCACCAGGGCAATGCATCCTATAGTATAAATCACCAAGCTGATCAGCAAAGTCTTGTATTGGCCTAGATGATTGTCTGCCAATGGTGCTATGAGAATCGGGCTGGTGAAGTAGACGATGAAGAATCCGCAGTAGATTCGTGTTGCCGTGGTCTGCCCAAGGTTGAGAGCACCGGGAGTTTGGTCCTTTTCGTGATGCTGAGGGTGTTCCATGTAGTTTTGCCAAGGGGCGGTGACTTTCCAGTGTAGTGTCAGTGTCATGTCAAACAGTTTGCTACAGGTGGTGACACTTACGCCCCCAGAATGTTGCTCTCTCCCAGAACCCGATTATAGCGACGACCCATAGCTTCCATGGTATGCTATCCCTGACACGTCGCGGTTCAGGAGCATCATGCTCGGAACTTGTGACACTCGAAGTCGATGAGGCTTGTGACACTCGCTTCCGAGATGTACTGTTATCAAAGTCAACGACGGTGGTTGCTGTGTTGTTGCAAGTACTGACCCATCCATGGTTGTAGGTGGCTCAGATGCTCGAGCACTGCGTTCTCCCACCGCTGTTTGATACGGGAGTGATAAGGAAAGGAGGAATAGTTGTGAATTCGTAGGTAGAGCGACTGAATCACGCTAGGCGTGGAGGTTGAACCGATGTACGGCAAGCGACGCACAGAACTTTTGTTAGTAGTGGAGAGCGGTAGCCACTGCCTACTGAGGCGGTCGCAGTGTACCTTTCCTTTACTAGTTCAACCAACATTGCGGTGAAAACGTGCACGATTCGTCGGCTCTTGTCCATGCAGCAGCCCGTGCGGGAGAGGGATCATGCAAAAGTAATCGCCTCTTGAATGTTTGGTAGCCGTTTGATCGACGCTTCCGTATGCTAGTTCCCTAATATCTTACACCTGGTGTTGCTCTCAGCCGCGGCTGACTTTGGCCTGGATTTCTACTCCGCCAGCCACCATCTCCTAGCGTGTACACCAACCACTATCGGAAAGAAAGTACCAGCAAGACTCGCTATACTTCAATAACAAACGACTCTCCGCTCCATGAGGCGCAGTTGATGTCACCCAACAAGACGCATTGATATGATAACCACAACTGGAGACGCCCAAGTTGCACACATATCGCTGCCGCATGCCAAGATTTGGTAAGGGCTTCATTAGGGCCAATTCTGGTTACGGGTGCTCGGGACGTGGACCAAGGTACTACTGAGAAGGACCCAGTAACCAGGCGCACAGAAACAAGAGCTGTAAAGCCATAGCCTAGTTGGCCGTACGCGCGAGGCTAAGAGTTTGCTCAAGGAAACTGAGGTAAATATTGCAGCCACCACCCACGAATGTACAAACACTTCCTAGATTTAGGTTTCCAGTTAAGCTTGAAAAGATTCCTTGTTTACCATCAAACGTCTACGCAACCAACACGCTTGACGACCATAAAATCTCATCAAATGTGCTAAAAGACACAGGCGAATATCTGTCTTTTTTGCATGCGTGTATCCGCAGCGTTATGTCATGAGCCGGCACCATGAGCAGGTGCAGATGGTTCGACAATACCAAGTACCACCCGTCGGATTCAGTAGCCTAATCGTGCGCTGCCCGTCCCGCTGCCGAGCAACGATAGAGGGTTCAAAGTGGAGGAAACGTGTATTCTGTGGTGCGGTTGAGTAACGTCGGTAGACACTGGGAACTTGAAAATGCGCGTCCAAGTTTCGGTACCTGGATGCTTCGATTACATCAGCAGATCTAAATTCGGCACGGTTCGGAATACGGAGTCAACTCCCAGCCACTACAGCTAACGTCTTATGCGTGGCTTCTTGTCGTCATTACGTTTTGCAAAGTCTCCCTGTCAGCAACCGCGTACCTGCTTGTCTTGCAACTTTACACCGCTTCATTCCCATGCGGAACACCATATCAAGCTTCCGTGCGGCCGATCAAAGACAACATGGCTGTAGCACAAACTCTACACGGAAATACAGCTGAGTCAAAGTCTTTCGATATCAGTCGCACAGACGGTGTTACGGCGCTGCACCGACAGAGCATATGCGTTTGCTGCAGCATCGACTCCAGATGACTGCGCCGTCGTCGCATGCTTCACTACAATCTACTGATCTGCTGCAAAAGGCCCTTTTCTTTTTTTGACTTTAGTGGCGGTGAGTACTCCGACCAGTGAAATCATGACGCGGGTATTTACCAATGTGTCACTTGCATCGCAGCAGACGTGTGACCAAGACTGGTAGGCCGGAAGCAACATCAAGGACCGGAGACGGTTGAGCGATGTCTCTGAACATGTGTGGCTCACAGAAAGTTGGAATACATGTTCTCGAACGCAATGTTGATCGGTGTGGCCAAGACAAGCAACGCTCGGGGTAACCGTAGGGCCTAGCCCAGAATCCCACCATGGGGCTGCAGGTGATCGTCGAAAATGCGCGGGGCTGGACTGTACCGTTGGGAGCTGTAAGACGCGGCCTGCAGGTGGCACCAGGTACCAATAGTGCGATGTCGGTCCGTATTTACCCCGGAGTATTGTGTATTTACCGGCAGCGGGGCCCCGTTTGCCTCCATCCACTCGATTTCCCACTTTTACACGTCTCTTCGAGATATCTCTATTCGCATTCGTTCCTCACGATGTATCACCTAGACGGCAACCCGGCTCCATCCGATCAATCTCTATTCAACGACCTACTCAAAATTACGACATCCAAATGGCAGTCGATGTTAAAGAAAGACATAACTCCTACACGAGAGGAAACCGCTTCGCGACCATCGGTATCAAGAAGCTCTACCCAACTCTCGGTCCCAAGATCGAAGGAATAAAGGAAGCAAATTCAAGCGAGAAACAGCTCGACAAGCTGTGGAAGATAGTGGGAGAAGCGTAGCCTTTGCCTCTCTCTACTTCTTTCGGGTTATGGTACGACGCGGACTCGACATGCCTGTGGCTTACGTTCTATGACTCCACGCTCTCTTGAAAACCATATCATCTTCCACCAAGCGACGAATCCGCAACAACCATCCGTCTATTGCCCGCATGCGCGCTTCCATTGCAACTGCGTCGGATAACAAAGCGCATGCAGATTCTCTAGGCGGACTGAATGACTTTGGCCCTTCACGAAGGTTAGCAGGAAGATGTGATACGGAAACTTCTAGCTCTTCAACGCAAGAAACATGGATAAGGAAGCGGATAACATCCGCTGCAAAGGTTCGGCTGCGCATACGCATCATTTTCAATATCGCGAACAGGCAAGGCAATGCACCGCTTTAAATGAAACGCTGCTAGTACGTGTTGGCCAGGACAACGACTCTCATACGCTGGGATTAGAGGTAAGGAGACCTTGGACGTTCGAGGTTCGCTTTGATCTCTACCACACTTGTGGTGATAAGTTTGTGGGAAACTCAAGAGAGATGTTAATGGAGCTGTGGCATTTGTTGTAAGCCCGACTGTACTGTATCATAGACCATGACGAAGATGATAGGGTTCATCCTGGGGTAGTGCTACTGTTCCAACGCACACGCGATACACGAGACCTGTAATTAAGTGATGCCTGCGAAGTTGTATCCGGATCATCTAGACTAGAAAGCATACAAGTATTGTTGCGTCTGCAAATTCCTAGTTCCGATCGAAGGTATAGTCAAACCAGTGCACCCAGAGAACGAACTTCAGTCTCCCGAATAAGTCATGCATGAGTGAAATATTGTACACGACTTGGCATACTATAAACATTCAAGTCTAGTTTGATCAGGCACGGAGCACGCGGACCGATCAGTATCCAAAGACGGCCCAGCCACATATAATCTAATACATAGTGTAAGGTTACCCAAGATGGCCAGAACATTGGTACGGCAATATACCACTGCCGAACACAACCAAAGTGACCGCGATTTGCAGCACGAACCGTCTCTATCGGCTTGAGCTATACTATTCCATTCCTTTGTTCATATATATGATCATGATGAATACTGACGCATATAATGCGATTAAATGCGCGCTGTTTGTGATGTTTCTTGCGTATGCTCCCACTTGACTACATAATCGCCAACTGGCACTGAACGAGTCAATTCCTAGTTACCAACCTTTGTAGCGACCATGAAAGCCTTTCTACTCGCCACCCTGGCAAGTACAGCCACAGCTCACACCATCTTCCAGAAGGTATCGGTGAACGGTGTGGACCAAGGCCAGCTCAAGGGCGTCCGCGCTCCTGATTCTGACTATCCCATCACGAGCGTCACCGATTCGGCCTTCGCCTGCAACAAAGACATCAAACACAAAGACACTACTGTAATAAGTATTCCGGCGGGAGCAAGAGTCGGAGCTTGGTGGGGTAAGCCATGACTGTCGTGGATGCATATGACGTATACACTGACTTCGCCATAACTGCAGGCCACGTTATTGGCGGTAAGCAGAGCGCCAATGATCCCGATCATCCTATTGCTGCGAGTCACAAAGGTCAGTAGAACTACCGAGAACTGTTATGATCGCATAGACAGCAGAAGCTGATGGATACATCGTAGGTCCGATACAATACTATCTTGCCAAGGTGGATAATGCTGCCACGACTGGAACCACTGGTCTGCAATGGTTCAAAGTCGCCGGAGATGGCTTGAGTAATGGAAAATGGGCCGTGGATACTATGATTGCGAATGGAGGTTGGCATTACTTCGACATGCCTACTTGTGTGGCTCCAGGTGACTACCTCATGCGCGTTGAGTCAGTACTTCCCAATTACAGATTACATGTGAGACATGAGCTTACTTTGTACATTCATATACAGACTCATCGCCCTTCACGGCGCTCAAAACCAAGGTAATAACTTCGGTTTGCCTTCCCATAACATTGCTGACCAGAAAAACAGGCGGTGCACAGTTCTACATGGAGTGCGCACAGATCCGCGTCACTGGAAGCGGAACAAACAAAGGTTCAAACTTCGTATCTTTCCCTGGTGCCTACAAAGCCAACGATGCTGGTATCCAGGTTAATATTTACGATACCACTGGAAAGCCATACATGGGTGGCAAGGCATACTCGGTACCAGGGCCAGCGCCCCTCACCTGTGCGGCTGGACAAGAAGGAGGTAGTGGTTCGACACCTTCGACGCAGGAGCCAGCGCCAGTACCCGAAGCACCGGCTGCAGGAGCAGCCTTGTATGCGCAGTGCGGCGGTAAAACATGGACTGGATCAACAACTTGCGCCCAAGGAACGTGCAAGGAGAGTAGTGAGCATTACTCGCAATGCCTTCCATAGTAGGCCACTCAGAAGTGTTAGCCGTGTACATAGCCGTGCCTTGTTCGGATGGTAGGTTGCTCGTTCCATGTCTTCGTAATTCTTTTTCTCTTGTCCTGAACAGTTGACATCATGTAATTTTGCGATTGCGACATCTTCGCACATGTCTTTCGAAATTGTCCCTGCGGGTGAACTTCTTATTGGGTATTGTGCAAGTTGGATTGAGACAATAGAACACTTGTACTGTGTACATGTCTTTGTGAACGCCGCGCTCATGACGCTTGAGGTCCGCTTTGAGCGCGAAGGCTGAGTCGCAGTGCTCGCAGCGATACCTCCTACGGTGTTTGCGATTGAGATGTACACTGAGGTTTTATTAGTGCTGGATACATTCGAGGTATATGGAAAATGGTATAGATGGGTGACTTACTTCAGTTGCCCTTGTGAATGGTACGTTGTCTGGCACGTATCGCATCGATATGTGCTTGATGGATGCTCAGGCGGCTGTGCAGCGTCGTTGGATTGATCGGGCGCTGCATGCTTTCTTGAGGTAGTTTCAGAAGATTCATAGGACTTGTCGCTATCAGGTGGAGAACTTGTATATTCTCCTGGAGAATCAAGGAAAGGGTTTTCGGCATGCCCAGGGGTGGAGCCTTCCACTGTCGAGACGGCTAGCAATGGGGATGTGGTACTTGACATTGTCATCACTTGCAATGTCTCGCAATTCTCGTCGTTGACGTTGTCTTTGGGCAGCTGTTGCCGTTGAAGCCATGGGAAAATGACTGGATTTGGAGTGTGCTCTACGGCCCAGGGGCTGATGCACTGTTCTTCGTCCTCCGTTGACGTCACCCTTTGCCTAGCCCATCCGATATGTGCAGGCGCGACTGTAAGTAGCTGTGCAGACCCTTCTATTACAATTCATCAGCAGACGCTCCAAGTTAGGATTGGAGGCTGACGAACCACTCTGAGGTACGATGCGTTGTAGATACGATGTTTTATCAATACCCAGAACCTGATCTGCTGTGATGGCTCTTGGTGGCTTCTTAGTCCTATGCCTCTCCTGTCGAGCCCATATTGAATCCTGAGGCGGTGCCCTTTCGTACGGAGGTGGATCTATGCCAGGACGTTGTCCTTTGCGCTCGAGATCTCGGAGCCTCCTGAAAGGATCCAGTTTCCGCCTTCTGATTCGATCAGCGAGCCATATCCCTACCATGGGGGCCGCAAGAACGAATGTGATAGCTAGACATATGCCTACAAACATCAACGTGGGAGCCTTTTCCTTTGGCGGGTTGTTTGCGTCGGGCGACATCCTCTCTTCCAGTTTCGGGACATGCAATAGGTCCAATAATCGTGGCGGATCCAGCTTGGATGTTACCGTCGGCAGCGCCACGTTTGGGGCCATGTTGGCGAGCGAAGGCAAGATGACGATTCACTTGTCGTGCGCGGCGGAGCTTTAATCGTTGTCTCGACATCGCATTCACTACCTCACTGTCGCATGAAGCCCTGGCGATTTGAGGCTGAATCTGGGAGGCATACATCGTTTGTAGGCCTGCCATGATTGGGCAACAATTCGTACCATTTAAATGTTGGCAAATACGAGGAGCTTCCAGAACCTGCTCATCTAGCGTTATACTGTTATGGGTATGGTAGTTTCTTAAACTGTACATTTCCGCCCCCGGTTAATGTCGGGGCCGCGCCGTTTGATGCACGCTTGCGCACCTCGTGCCCCATTTCTGGGGTTGCGATGATCCTTCTAGCCCCGTGGTGGGAGGATACAAGTAAGCTACGACGTACTCTCTCTAGTATCCAAGCACACCTCGCGACTGTGTTGTGATGAGTTATCGCCAGTGTTGGCGACGCAGGTTTCCTGCCGCACGACCGCAGGAGAACCGGGAACGATCCCGTCATCGATTTCGATACAAGCACCTACCCGGTCTCGGCAACGTTCAATGCCGCAACACCAACACCAACACCTTGCGAACAGTAACTATTTACACACACACACACACACATGTTGCTTGGCACACCGACCTCCACAATAGATCTCAGGCGAACATGCGCAATCTTGAGTAGGATTCTTCGCATGTTGCCGTTCGGGCTGCGACACGAGTCAGCACGAGGTTAGGAGGGTAGCCGCTTGCCGCTTCATACGGTCAATCTCTTCCTTCCCCACATGGCAATCGTTGCGAGTATGCGGTTTTCACAGCTCTATCCGATATAACTATAGCGATGCGACACTTACGACTTCTTCAAATCTCATTCAAAGAAACTTGCACCCGCACAGAATGACTGACCTCAACAGACTGCGTCCATGCGGCAGACTCGAAACTTACAGCACCGCGCGGCATCATCTAGGATTTTACAAGAGTGTTGGCTTTACCGCAGAATACGTAACATCCGAAATTCCTCAATTGTCTCTCGAGGATCGGGTCTACTTTGCGCTTCGACACGTTATCGCCGAGCATCCAATCCTGAGCGCTATCGCTGTGAACGAGGACCAATCTTACCCTAATGTATACTTTGCGCACCTACCCGAAATTGACCTGCGTACCTCCGTGGAGATATGCGAGCGCAAGAAGCCGTTTCCGAACGATGGCGAGACGGATGAAGAACTCGACGAGATGTTAGCACAACAACATAGCCGTGGCTTCAAGGAAGTATTGAGATCGAAGCCTTACTGGCGCTTACTCATTTTCAAGTCACCAACCGATGTGACTAGATTCACTGCGACATGGATGTGGCATCATGCTTTGGCAGATGGAGCGTCAGCTTTCCTGTTCCACGAGTCATTCCTGGGTGGCCTAAATTCTCCAGAAACGGAAAGCAACGTAGAGCCAATGGTCAAGTCTTCGACTATGGCTCTACCACCACCGCTAGAGGAGCTGCACCCAATGACGGTCTCATGGCCATATTTCATCCAAGCCATACTTGGAGTCTTGCTGCCTTCAGTGTTCGCAAAGCGACCTCCGAAGCTCTGGACAGGTAACCCTGTGCACCAAGACGCAGAACCACTTCCGCAGCCTCGATATCACACGCTTGTTCTGTCGAAACCAACCACAGATAAATTGGTACAGCTCAGTCGAGCCGAGAAAACAAGCATGACAGCAACGTTGCAATGTCTCATCGCGGCATCACTCTTCGCACATCTTCCTGCCCAAGACTATGAGAAGCTCAAGATCGAGGGGCCGATAGCTATGAAGAGATTTTTGGACGTCGAGGAAAAGCAGATGACACTTGCGATGACACAGTATGGATACCACCATGAGCGCCTTGCGTCGCAAAATCTTCAGGGCCTAGCAAAGTCTAGCGTCCTGGATCAATTTTCATGGGACATTGCACGAGCAGTCAAGTCCGCCATCTCTGCGGAAGTCGCCAAAGCTGGTACGGATAACTCTATTGCGCTGCTGAAGTATGTGTCTTCGATGCCACAATTCTTCCTCGATAAGCTGGGCAACCCTCGGTATCCTTCTGCAGAGCTGTCCAATGTAGGTGTATGGAAGAACAAGCAAAAGCCGGGAAACTGGGCTATCGGAAGGATGGTGTTCAGCCAGTCACCTAATGTTGTAACAAGTCCTTTGGCCGTCAGCGTCGTGACTGGTGGCGATGGTAATGCGACCTTGAACTATTGCTGGATACAGGACGCTGTAGAGGATGAGTTCATATGGAAGGTCGTTGAAGGAGTAAAAGGCGCCATTGAAGGTTTGGTGGCTGGACATGATGCATAACTGAAGTGTATGCAGGTTGTAACACCAGCGATTCCTTAGTTACGATCGCCAATCCCTATTTCCATATAGATCTCACCACTAATATGAAGCTTCGAGAATACCACCGCACAGGAATACTTTTGTTTCCGGTCAGATCAAATCACATTGTTGCCGATAACGACACTGGTAGATTGCCTCTAAAAGTCGAGGAAGAGAGTTAGGTATATGGGAGAGCTGATTCCTACCAAGTTGTACCACAATCATACCACAAAGCGCTCAACTCACGCACACTTTGGTGATAAATAATGTAAAATTTGATTATTTCCAATGATCAAAAAACCCAGTTAGACATACAGGTTCCCCAAGCACAAGTCTATGCGCCACCAGCCCAGAGAGAAAAGCTCGCCAAGTTCAAACAGCCACCAAACTCCATACAAGTCCATAGCAAGACGATCACATTACCAACCTCATAGGCCACAACGACGGTCGCCTCGTACATTCCACCTACTGCCTGTTAACCCTACAGTATTCCCAAACTTCTTGTCCTCTCTCAGTTGCATTTCCACCACGACCGTAGTATGCAGCATAAGCTGCGTTGACGCTCTCGTGGTGTTCTTTCGCATGTCTTTTGATAGAGCTCCATACGCTGTGCGCTGTCTTCGAAGCCCTCAACGTGGATGCTGATGAGGATGTGATGGATAGAGAAGAGGACGAGGAGGCTTTAGCTGGCGATTTAAGGTACTCGAAAGAGGTGCGCGGAGTGGAGGCGGAGGAGGTCGACATCTTTAGGCAGATGAGAGGATGTGCGATGTGTGCACAATCTAAGCGTATTCTCGAACTTGTTTCTTCTGTTCGACTGGCGAAAGAGATGATGGATGTGTGTGTTGTTGTTCAGGCTTGACGCGTTGTTTTTGTTGATGATAAATGTTTTTGTTTGCTTCTTGTTCTCTTCAGGGTACCTTGCTACTTCTGCGTGGAACCGTACCAAAATCTGGACCTTGAGATGGTTTGTCGTTTTGTATATTCGTAATTGTGTGGATTTCTACAGCTGGACACTTTCCTACCTTTATATCCCTAGAAAAGCTCAGTCCACTGTACCGATCTGGACATCCGAGAATCGCACACCCTATGACTCCAAGGTCCAACATGACTTTGCCGTCGCGGCACTTCCTGCGCTGGTAATTGACCTGAAAGGCGTGGGAGGCTTGTTTCAGTAGCTTCCCATGTCGCAAAGCTGACCACCCGCTTGGGGCGCAATGTGGAGACAAATTTACGCCATCAATGTACGGACTGCGTCGAATGGGTAGCCCGTTCCGCAGCCACACGCTTCCGGAAGTGACTAGTTCCATGGAGATTTCCCGACGGGTAGAGATGTACGGTGAACAGTGCGAGCCTCTCGTACAACTCGAATTTCGGAAAATCTGCTCAGTCGTACTATAACGAGGTCACATGGATACATGTCAAAGACACCGCGCAATCGACTGCTTCATTAACAACCGATCTTTGTCTTGTATGGCTTGTGGAAAGAGCGGAGAGAGCATGTACAGTATGACAATTTGGGTAGGGCGTGCGCCTTGTGCCCACACGCCCTGGTCCAATGAGATGGAAGTGGGGTTAGTGCGACTTAGTGAGCAGTGCGCGCGCCCTGTACATGTCAATTGTCGGTAGTCGAGGACGCCTTGTCAAAGCAATGACGAGCACGTTAGATGTTGCGATTTCAAAGAAATATTACTCACATTTGCATGCAAAGGGTGCAGCGTGTATCAGTCGTATGATGTAGGACGTTGCTTTGTTGCGGCACAGAGATCAATGGAACGGCACAGAAACACATGCAGAGACACAAGCGATGAATTTCATCATTAAAGGTGATTCAACACTACCTGGTATGTTCACTACGGCTTCACAACTGACTGCCAGGGCAGTGTATTGTCGAAGAAGAAAGTTGCCTCCGGCTTGGGTGCGAGGCCTTCACCGGTCATATTGCATAGCTTGGTCACATCGCCGGCTTCTGCACGCTTCGCGTTGATGATGCTTTGATATTGCGACAACGGGCATGAAGAGCCAGGACCACTGGTACAGCCCACCACAGGATATACGACCTCGTTGATGCGGATTCGTACAAAGGCCTCTTCGGATGCAGTACTGTTGTAATCGCTATGGGCACTGTAGCCGTAGCTGCCATCATGGGCAGCAGCAGGACAGGAGAGGCGTTCGAATGCAATTGTTCCGCGCATCTTCACAACCTGGGATGAACGGAAGATGCGGTTCGGTAGGGACATATTGCCAGGAAGTTGCTGTTGGCCGTCGAAAACACCAATTGCAGCAGCGAGCTGATTGATTTGGCCATCGTTCGCGAAATTGGCCATGATCTTTGGGGGAACAAAGGTCCCATTGCCCGTTTGGTAAGTCGCATTTGGACCATCAACAAAGCGTTGTACGGTCATGTCGACGACTGGCAGCATCTGATACTTTTCGATGTCAGACCCTAGGCCAGTGCCGTACCAGTAACGCAAATCCTGCGCATACTCGTACTGCAAGATTTCTTCATCAGTGAAGATGTCGCAAAAAGGGCTCCGTCGGCCAGTGATCTGGGTCTCGAAACCACATAGGTAGGGTATCTGGTCGACTTGACTCGTCGTGAGATTCAAACCACCCTTAATCTTGGCGTTGAGCCTGGACGCGATCGGAGGAAGATATATGGAGTCCCATGTGTCCTTTGCAGGGCCACCACCTGCGTCATTGTAAGCCTTGCAGAGATCACTGGGTGCAAGCGTATTGCCCCAACTGGCAGGATCGCTCGCGTTGAGGGCATAGATAGTGGTAAGATCCGTAGCGTTGGGCCCCACGAAACCTTGAGCAAACAAGCGTGCGCTATCCCGTACACGGGGACCTGAAGTATAGTAATTCGCCCACATAGTAAAGGCGGTGTTGTAATCGTACAGATCAGGATAGCGGAGCCGCCACGTGGTACCCATATCGTGAAGCTCTCTCCATCCAGTGGGGCTTATATTGGCGATCTGAGCATCGGGATCTGAGAGTACCGGCTTCCAGGACTTGAGAAAAGCGAGCTTCTCGTCATTGACGGTGAAGTTGCCTGCTGCTTGGATGTATTCGGCGAATTCAACCCACCCGTTGTACGCGCCTCTGTCAGGGTACCGTGAACCGTGACGAGAAAAGAAAGCTGTGTAGATTCAGTATGGATTTGGTCAGTCCTCAACTAAAGTGTTCTCACCAGCCAAATCGACTTTACATCCAGTGGGTATCTCAGAAGAGATGCCTGTCGTTTCTTCACCAGGGAACCATTGTCCGTTTCCACCAATATGCTGGAAAATGTTGAAATTATCTTGCGCCGCGACAGCAGTACTGCTGATAGCGAGGGAAACAACAAGAAGCCTCATGGTCGTTGATTGGGATTGTGAGATGTTTTGAGCTACAGGCGACGATCAGGCGTGTGGCTCTCATCTTTATACCCCAGTATCTTCATCTATTGTGGTGTTGTCAAGTGCAGCACCTGCTTAGCCTCGGAGATGAACATAGGCGATGCTTCCTAAGACGGTAAAGATTCTCAGGAACAAACCGCACGTGGGAGCTGGAACATCATGGATGGTTCACTCGCAATGCGGCGCGGTCAGCCTCAACGGCCAAGCAGGCCCGTTATGGGACGTGATCCTTCGCGCACCTGGGAGAGAATGCCGTTGTGGGATCCAAGCAAGACAAGGCGTAGACTACGGTTGAATGCAGGTTGATGATGATGCGAGTCGACACAACTGTCGCCCTTCGGAGGTGCAATCCCCGATTAGTCACGCTGCTTATCGATACTGCACCCGCGATCGCGGAATCTGACTCAATCTCCAGCTATCTTTGCCAATAACGCTCCCGCAACGATGCACGTCTTCATGTCTCCTCGGTGACTATCCGAATCCAGCTCTTTCCTGCACCTCTACCCTTCAGACCATGGCTGAGACGAAGCCGCGCCAGCGCAAGTTCGCGCCAAGATCGCGTACAGGCTGCCTGACCTGCCGAACCAGGAGAAAGAGGTGCGATAACGCCCAACCTCGATGTGCAAATTGCAAACGACTCAACCTATTATGCGAGTGGCAGAGTCCACGAAGTATCGTTACGGAGCCGAGTTCATCACAATCAAGCTCCAAGAGCCCCGAGCTTCAGGTTGCAGTTCCGCTGCGAAATTCTCTCGATCCTTGGGATGCGCTACCGGGCGATGGAGAAGCGGAGAGGATGCATCTGTTACAGTACTATATCGAGGCCTTTGTACCCAGTGTTCAAGTAGCGCCTATTGCAACAAGTTTCTACACTAGCCTATACATGCCTTGGTCTTTCCAGATCGAAGGTATGCTTGACGCCATTCTGGCCATTTCTTCAGCCCAGTTGGCACGGCGGAGCCAGGACGCAGACCGCGCTAAGCATCTTCGGGCCGTGTCCTCTCGCCATGAGAGGAAGTGCTATCAATTTATCAAGGAACGCCTACATCCTTCGGGTGGACTTCCAGAAGACACTTACCAGGTCACTGCGGTGATCCTGATCCTAGTAGGGCTTGAGGCGCTCAACGGCGTCAAGACCACGAGGTGGATATCGCAGTTGAAAAGCGTTCAACGTATACTTAGCGCACTCACTCCAGAACAGAGCATCATGGACTGTGTTGAGGTCGATTCTCTACATCGCCACTTCACTTATCATTTCGCTTCTGCGTCTCTCATGGCACGAGTATCCAATGCAGGAAAGCCATGTTCAGCAGAGCAAGGCTTGATACCAATCAGCGCCGCTCTAATGCCGGGCACAATTGATCCGCTCATGGGCATCTCATACCAGCTATGCGATCTCATCTCTCGGATACAATACGTAACTTCCTCAAATCCAGCGTTCCCGCTCGCTACCGAAGCTTCTTTCAACGTTATCAAGCAGGGCATCCAAAGCTGGACTTACGACAATCCATTTGCACTTGGTGTCGATACCCCCATAGCTCTCGATCTCATCGCCTTGGCAGAGGCTTACCGTCTGGCGGCACTCATTCAGCTCTATCGTACCTCACCAAGCCACTCTACAAATATTGCAGGTTGTGCCGCACGTGCGATGGAGTTCATTGCTCGCATACCACCCGGAAGCGCTGCGGAGTCGAGCCTGCTCTACCCCATATTTCTAGCAGGCGCTGAGCTGGACGACGAAGCTGCCATTGAGAAGTGCTTTCGAAGATTGGAGGACATTCAGAACAGGAATCGTTACGAGAACGTCGAATGTGTGCAAAAGGTGCTGAAGGAAGTATGGCGACCCAAACTTGAAGGTGGACAAAGAAGGGACTGGGAAGAGGTTGTAAGAGAGTGGAACTGGTCTTTCACTCTGGGTTAAAGCTTCTTGGATGGGACTCTTCTTGAGTCTGATTCAACCTTTTCGCACTCGTGATACGTCGAGAATTTGGCGCGATGCTTTGGCCACGTTGGAACCTTGATCCGGATTCCTCGTTATGAATACAATCGCCGCCATAACACGTCTGACGACTGCAAGGGTTTCTCACGTCAGCAGGGGTATCATACTCCATGAGTTGGATATGTATGGTGGTCGGCTACTCCTTTCCCCGCACGACTGCTTGGCCGACCCCGCGCCTGCTCTGCAGCACGCATCGAGATGTCGCGTACCGCGCCTGTTTTTGCGCAGACACTACTACAGTGAGTGGGCTCTTCGACTACAATCCAACGCCACTTCTACATTGGCTTTCTTTCCCCGCTTCATGGCCTCACACTACTTCCTGCTGGAATGCCAGGCGCAGCGCTTGCGCGGCGATCATGTCATTGTTAATACAAGATGATCCCCTCGAGACAAATGTCATCTTTCACAACAGTAGGGGCTACACATTCTTCCCGCCATCAGTATGGCGAATCCCGTTACTTCAACCATGGCAGCGCCCATAAGCTTCAGCGATTCCTTGGATACAACCAATCTCAAAGATCGCTCAGTTCTAATAACTGGCGCGGCATCCGGTATCGGTCTGGCATGCGCAATCAAGATGGCTGAAGAAGGCGCGATTGTCACGATGGCCGACCGGCAGAATACAGCGGGGGCAGTAATTGCAGAGCTAACAGCTCGAGGGCTCAGAGCGCAGTTCGTACAATGCGACGTAACATCTTACGAAGCACAAGCCTCTATGTTTCAGTCCGCGATACAGTTTGGCGACGGGCAGATTGACGTTGTCATCCCTAATGCAGGCATTCTGGCCGAGAAGAACATGTTCGATATGGTACCAACCACTTTGCCAAACCTAGGAGATTCGCCGCCTCCGGTCCCAGGCTCCGCTTGCTTGTCGGTCAATCTTGACGCCGTATACAATACCTGTTATCTCGCGTTACACTACTTCCGACTCCCGCGCACAGCCGCAACAACGTTCACGCCTAGCATCGTTCTTATCGCCTCACTGGCAGCCTACATCGGCTACCCTTACAGTACTACGTACAGCATGTCCAAGTTCGGCGTTCGAGGACTCTTCTATAGTCTTCGCGAACGTGCTATGCGCTCTTCAATCCGCCTTAACCTCGTTGCGCCATGGTTCGTCGATACTGGCATTACCAAGCAAGACGATTTTGTCGCGGACAATGGTGCCGTGCTTGGAATTGTAGGGTATGCATCTATGGACAGGGTAGTTGATGCCGTGATGAGGTTTTCGTCGACTCAAAACCTTTGTGGCAGGAGCGTGGGTATCTTCCCAAGGGGTAATGAAGATATTCATGATGATTTAGAGGGAGGGTTTGGCGGTGCGGTAGTGGGCAAGCATATGCGCGAGATCAAAGCGGTCGTTGCTCAAGACATTCAGAAGCAGGCTCACAGCGCACCCTAGCATATACAGTTGAGCGAAGGTTTGCCGAGTACGTTGTTGTCGTAAGTTAGCGGTCTCATCTTCTCAAAACTCTTGGTCATATCTGGGCGCTTGGCCCGAATCTAATATTACAACATCACTATGGTTTGTACTATTGTTCATCGGTAGGGTTAGTGAAGTGTGAAGCTTCTACGATATTATGCGGGCCCGCACTCGTACAATCTTTCGTACATGATGTTCATGAGCTCTTGGCGCCCAATGCAGAAACCGTCACCGCCACGGGTAAAATTCCGCTACTAGTCTTCAAAGACACAAATAGCCTCATGCTTAACAAGCAATCGGAGTGATACCGTCGGGATGCCGGAAGCAACATCTGCGATCCAATACAACACCGCATGCTCCTGAGCAGATCCACGCTGATCTGCACATCTGTAACTTTGGGTACGGGCCAAGCGTCTCTTCCATCCGTAGACTTTCGACCGTCGGTATATTTTTGTGCCGTAAACAATGGAGTGTTGGTTGACTTACGTGCGTTGGGCTAGTATATAGATATTGGAGTGAAGAAATCTGGCTAAGTGATATCAAAACGCAACTGAACAAATCATTGAACAGAGCCCACAGAATCAAACATGCCTGGCGTCCAACACACCCAGATGGAAAGAGAGCCACCGACTGGTGTCGACGTCCTTGTAGTAGGAGGCGGTATTGGTGGTCTCACTTGCGCCATCGAAGCCTATCGCAAAGGGCACAATGTACGAATTCTTGAACGAAACCAAGAAGGCCAGTACTCTGGTAAGTACGTTGAAATTGGAAGATAACTTAACCATCAATAACACAATAATAACCAGGCGAAGTAATCATGATAACCACTTCTGCACTCGAAACTCCCAAGAAGTGGCCCGGCTTTATGGAACGTGCCAGGGCTATTGGACTACCACCGGACTTCGAACTGCGCAAATACGACGGCACATTCATTCAGCATCATGCCCCTGGCCACTCAAAGAATCCTTCGCTGGGCATCTACCGAAAGAAACTTCACAACCTGCTTAATACCTATGTCAAAGAGCTCGGTATCCCCATAACCTACGAGTGCAGAGTAGGTGCATATTTTGAAACGAACCAAACGGGCGGCGTTATTCTTGACAATGGCGAAAGAATAATCGCAGATGTTGTTGTAGCTGCAGACGGCGTCGGCTCCAAATCTCGTGAGATCATTGATGGAAACAAAGATAAACCGATTAGCTCTGGTTTCGTTGTTTACCGGAGTTCTTTTCCTGCCGGACCAGCGATTGAAAAGTCCCCCCTTCTTGCGAAAGCGTTTGCTGGCTATGAAAACCGCGGTTTCATGTACATTGGCCCAGGCGCACATGTGGTGTTTGGACTCAATCAAGACGAGTTGTGGTATCTTCTGACAACCAAGGTCGGTGGAGAACACTCAAGATTCCTTCCATGGTGCTTTTCTTTACTGATCGACCCATTAGGACGAAAAAGGTACGGCAACAGAGAGCTGGTCGAAAACTACTTCCACAGATAAGAGTCTCCAGGTTGTCAAAGACTGGGACCCCCTTGTGGCTGAGCTCATCAGGGCAACTCCGAACAACCAATGTCTCGATTGGAAGCTTATGTGGCGTGACCCACAGCCGCAGTGGGTCTCGAAAGGCGGTCGTGTTGTTCAACTTGGCGATGCGGCACATCCGTTCTTGCCCACGTCATTCAGTGGCGGCACAATGGCGATGGAGGATGCTTATTCACTAGCAGCCTGTCTGCAGATCAGTGGGAAGAAGAATGTTGCGATTGCGACAAAGGTCCATAATAAGCTGAGGTGAGTCAAGAGGCATTGCGTAAAAGCAAAAGTGACTGATTCGATTATCACAGGTTCGAGCGAGTATCGTGCGCACAGAAGATGGGCTTCAAGAACCGGGAAGTCTTCCATAACACCGACTGGAAGGACGAGAAAGCAGCGCCGAAGAAGGAGGAGCAAATGGTTGGGAATTGGTTGATCTACCATAACCCTGAACAGTACGCTTATGATAAGTATCATGAATGTGCTGAGCACTTACTCGCAGGCACCGAGTTCGGGAACACGAACCTACCACCGGGGTACAAGTACAAACCGTGGACTGTACGCGAGCTTCTGGGAGCTTCAGAACGTGGTGAAGTGGTTGAAGATGAAGGCGACTGGTCTTAGACTCCGGCGACAGACTTGTTTGACTCGTAGATTGTGATTGTAGCTATTATAGACCCTCGACTGCCCACTCTGGCCATACCTCTTCCACTCTCGGTTTGCTTGCCAAGTTCCGATCGTGGATATGCTCCTTCAACGGCAGGTCTTGATGCTGACTGCGCTCTCCCATATCAACACCTCTCTTCTGCAGTGTTCGCGCATATCCCAGTGTCTCCTTCTTCCACGCACTTCGGCTCACTTTGCCCTCGATCATGTCTGCCAGGATCATGGCATCGAAGCACGCTTGGCTAGTGCTTGCGACAGTGTGAGGCCGGAAGCCAGCCAGAGCATCGCCGATAAGGATGACACGACCATCCATAAACTCATTTGTCGGAGCAACAACGTCGGTAACTGCTTGTACAAATGGCTTCTCAGTCGCTCTGACGATCTCAGCGAACTGAGGAGGCAGACGCTCACTTGCAATCTTACGCTGCTTCTCCCATGCTTGCGGATCCATTTTGCCAGGTGGCATGGTGATGCGATGATACTGGCCGTCCACATCTGTCATCAACTCACGGAAGTCGGGAGAAGGATCACTTAGAGAAGGTGATGGAAAATTAGTGTAGTAGACGAAATTGATGAGGCGCTTGCCCGGCTCGAGGGTACCGTTCTCGCCAGGTATCAAGTATGCCAGGATCTGTATCCCTTTTGTATGGAAGAAGGTAAAGCGTTCCCTGAAAGCTTCCAGTGTTTTGGGGCTGACTGAGTTTTCAGGGACGGTCCCGCGAAGAGCGACATAGCCCGCGTACGTGCGCTCGACGCTGGTAGTGAGGAGGGAGCGGATGGTAGAACTCGGTCCATCGGCGCCAATGACCAGGTCAGCTTCCATCTCGCCCGTACTTCCTTCGCTTGTCTCGTACTTTACAACCACTTTGTTTCCCTTGTCTTGCAGTTCAATCACCTTGTGTCCATGGAGATGCGCGACCTTGCTACCACTGTCTTGGTCGCGCGGCGCGTCGCAATATTTGCTCTCGATTCCATCAACGTTAGCCCTGAGCATATAGTATGCAAGGTCCCAGCTGGTCATGTTCTGCTGCATGTCTTCCTTGTGTATGACCTCACCATCCTTGCTCAGGTATTGCCTTCGAGTCGAGGTAACAGCCAAGTCGCGCTTGCATTTGTCGTAGCGCTTGAAGAAAGCCAGGGTATCACCACCTATAAGATGCGGGTGCGATGTTAGTATATGCCTCAGATGTGGGCCGTACAGGAGAAGTCCTCACCAGCGACGATGCCAGCGCCTTGATTGTGGAGGAGGGCGGTCGGATTCCGTTCGAGAAGCGTGATGGTGTGTGCATGTGGTGCTGGAAGACGTTTTAGAGCAAGAGCTGTCGCGAGGCCACCTAAGGATGCGCCTGCCTAGGTAGGTAGTGAAGTCAGTTTGTGCTTAGGATGGAAAGCGCGTGCGCGTGCTGGAACGTACGATGATGATGTTGAGCCTCTCACTGGCGGCATGAGGAAAGCCCTGGGATTGTGTGATGCCGTCTGCCATTGTTGATAACTTCAGCCAGTATTCCAATCGGGCTTCACGTAAGGTGAGAGTGAAGCAGCCATAGTGAGCCTCGTTCGCGCGTCAATGGTCAGCGGAGAGGGTTGATTGGGGAAGATCCGATGACGACAGGCTCGACGTCTCGAGCAATGCCGAGGGATGTCGGAACCTGGAACGCTAATCGGAACCCCCAGCATCTCGCCCTCCCTTGCTTGTAAGCCGCACTCTCCCCACGATAGTCTTAGTAAGACGCAAGCGCTTCTGTATATTGACCATGTCTATCCAAGCTTCTGACTTGAACCAGAAGCGTTTGCGGTATTGGAGCAGCCGGCCGTCGCGACATTGAAACATGATAGCGAATCGCGGAGCTCGTGGCCTTGTCGCTGTACGCCAAACCCCGTCCATGACATTCGACACAACAAGACTGATAGGTCAACCAGATTACCGGTGCAAACGGCACAATCGGCTACGCTTGCGTCGTGTATGCACTGCAGACTGGCTATCGAGTACGCTGTATCGTGCGCCGTTCCGCCGCCATTGACTTCATCAAATCCGGGCCCTCGGTCCAGCCATACCTTGACCTGGTCGAATACGCTGTCGTGCCAAACAATGCTGCTGAAGGAGCTTACGACGAAGCTGTTGCAGGTGCCGATTATGTTGTGCACATAGCAGGAGCATGGCCGATGTCAAATCTGGATCCTGACAAGGACATCTACTGGCCGTACATCAACTCTACCAAGGGCTTGATTGAAGCTGGGAACAAGTCACAGACTGTGAAGAGAATGGTTTTCACACAAGCCGGGGCTGGTCTCGTTGACTCGGAAGACGGAGATACCTTAGGCAGGCGTATGGATCGCGTTCTAAACGGTACGCCTCTCCCATCGTGCTCTCCTGTCCAGCTCAATGTCTTGTGCTAACCTACACAGAGCAGGTCCAAGTCTCGCAAACGTCTCTCGAATACCGACCCCCTCTAAAGTCTCCTCACAACGCATATTGCTCCGCAAAAGCTCAATGCATGACCAACCTTGCCCACCTTCAAGCTTTCCACAAGCTCCCCTTCTCTATTGCGCAAATTATACCAGGCACCGTCATCGGGCCTTCGGAATTCTGCACAACGTCTGAGCAAGCGCTCGCACATGTGGATCGACAAAGCAAGGCGTTGCTCTTCGACGACATGACACCACGATATGCATTCGGCTTCATACACGTAGAGGATTGCGCTCGCATTCACATTGAGGCGCTAGATGACAGAATTAGGAGCGAAGACTTGCCTACGTGGTATGTCGCTGCTGGCACGGTAGAACCGGGTATAGACGGAGAAAAGCTATGGAACGACGCGGCAGACATGATTGAACATGACTTTGGAAATGAAGTTAAGACAGGAGCCTTCAGAGTGGGACGAGGCAAGGTTCCTATCAACATGCCGTTTCGCGCCGATTCGAGTGTGACAGAGAACATGCTCTTGAGCGGAGACAAGATCAGGGGCCTAAAGGACAGCGTAAAGCAAGTCGCGCAATGGTATATTGAGTTGAAGAAGAAAGAAGATAAAGGGAATCTATAAACCGCAGCGAGGCATAGCACTGAGCAAATATCGCCATTTCGGTCTAGTCTTGTGTGCCTTACCATTTAAAGCTTTCTTCAAAGTACTCAACACCCCTATGTCCCTTACCCAGCATCTGTACACTTGCTCTTCTGGCCTGATCAGCCATCAAAGCTGGTCCGCAGGCCACAATCGCCAGCGGTTGTTGCCCCGCATCTCTTGCAGCTTCCACTATCGTGTCATGTACGTTGGGCCTGTGCGCCATCAACCTCACACTCTTTAACGCCTCGCCTAAGACGTCGTCCTTTGCTTCGTCATCGCGAGTGACATGTACTTCCATCTCCATTCTCTCATCGCTTAACAGCCCTCTGAAGTCACGCAGTACTGACGCGAGGAATGCATACTCGCGGACCGCCCAAACAATCTTCACACTCTGAACACGTGAGGAAGTGGAGAGTACATGAGCCAAATGTGACAGCGGCACTGCGATACCAGTCCCACCAACTATGAACAGGATGTTAGTGAAACTTCGGAGAGGGACAGTATGTCCATAGGGTCCTTCGATGAGGACATTGAGTCTTTTGGGATGCAAAAGACAGTGTGATTTTAAACGGGATGTGAAACCGTCGTATGGTCGGATAAGGAACACCATGTTCAGTACGCCTTCAGACGGCAGGAGCGCATCAGACTCGGTGGATGAGGCTGATGACGTGCGTAAGGGTTCGGGTCTGAGCGAAAGTGGCGACAAAGGCGTAGACGGAGGCTGATCGGTATCTGTCGAGGTGTATGCCAACGTGAAAGGATGGCTCTGGTGGGCATACAACATGTCATCCAATACGTGGATATAGTAATATGTACCAGGCTTCGGCGCGACCAAGCTCTTCTTCCCGTCAACATCCATTCGGACAAGGTTACTATTAGGGTCATAAGTGACCCTAGCCTTGGTACCGAAAGGATTGCGGTTGAATACTACGATCCGAACGAGGCGCATGACGCGATCGAAGATCCAGACAACGACACATGGCCAAATAAATATGTTCCACTCGCCGTTAGTAAAGATCTCGACATGGTAGTACATGGACCAGAGTGCGGCAATGGACAACGCTATGTGCGTGACGAGAAAGAACTCGTAGTGCGCACGGCGAATACCATAGAACGAAAACGCTAAAAGGCCACACATAGCGATGGTCGCTAGTTCGCCATTCCAGAAATAGTGTTTCGTCCAGTACTTGAGAAAGTGTGACCATCCTCCGCTCTCCAGTATCATCAGCGTATAGCCCAGACTGTGCACCACAGCTTGTACCGTGGCGACCCTAGCAACCCATCGATGGAAAGCGTTGTATGTGCCGAATCCCCATCCAGTTATCCAGATTAAAACATCGTTTCGCATGCCAAAAAGCCAGACAAGAGGGAAGTTTGCCAGCGAAACGATCCCGGTACGATCCGATACATAGCGGAGAAGTTGTGCTGACTTCTCTGGCCAGTAGAGGTTGCCTTCGGTAAGACGGTAGGAGAAAGTACAGAGGGCGATGTTGAGTGCGACGAAGAAGAAGATGGTAAGCGATTGAATCCGTGGTGGTATGGTGCACCAGCCATAAGGCCGAGAACAGCGGTCACCAAACGCGGCAGGTGTGGTGAGGTATCGCTTTAGCCATGTCTGTAAACGGGTTACAGGGCTGAGTGACACAGAATCTGTGCTAGAAGCAAACTCTGAGATCGCCTCATACGACTTATTGTAGTGTCGTCTACCGCGCATCAGTGATAAGAGACGCGTTGTGACACCAGCAATCACTACGGCGATCCAAAAGTAGTACATGTACCATCTGCAAATATTTTCTCAGCGATTGTGCGTTCAACAGAATCCAGATTATACTCACCCATATACAAGATGGATCTTGTATTCCCAATCTGCTGCGTCCTGTATGCTTCGGTTAGCATTGCATTTCCCATCAGGCCATGACAAATGAAAACTGTACCATAGTCGTGAAAGCTCGCTTCACGAGCATATCACTGGGTAGCACAACCTCATCAATGCTCGGAAACTCCAGTGCCTCTTCCGCCTGCAGCCGTCTTATTTTGCCCCTTTCATCCGGCGTCCATCGATCCACAACATCGTGAAATGAAGGTAATGTGATATTCGCGTATGCTTCGCACCAAAGATTCTGACTCCCAATCCACTCTTCTATATGACCATCTCGCTTACAGAATTCTCCAAAACACAGGTACAGTGACGTGACGCGCAAATCACTTTGACATGCTCGGAACTTCCGCGAAAGCGAAGGGTCGGTGTCGTTAAAGGTTACATAGTTGATGGTGGTCTCGCAAGCCAAAGGGCAAAACTTACCCGAGTATAGAGACTGTGCTACATCTGCAAGAGTGTAAAGAATGATAGATATCGACAAAGCGCGCATGGGTGGACGCGATGAAGTACAAGAAGGACGATGCAACCTCGGAGATTGGCGGGGTTGGAGAAATCTTATCAGATGGCTGTGCACGGACTTACGCTAAGATTGGGCGCTCCTCGTTCGCGTCAGCTGGGTCGTTGTTCGAGCCTGGAGTTGGCCAATCATTCCGTACAATCAAGCCTGCAGCAGGCTCACAGCATACCAGACTATGCCACAAGTCAACGAGAAGACGACCTTTTTCACCTTACCAACCGAGCTTCGCTTGGAGATTGCCGCCTATGCGCTTGAGCAGCCCGACGCTGGACTCACCAGACAGCACAGGCCTGGAGAAAAAAAGGATCATTTTAGGGTTGACAGCAAATACAAAGCCAGCAACAACCTCGCCATAAGGCTGGTCTGCCGACGATTCAACGCCGAGTTTTTTCGTCTTGCCATTCAAAAGACGCTCTTCGTGCTCCCCAAAGACTCTGCTTGGGTTATTTACCAACAACCCGACGCCCTTCTACGCGACGTAAAGAAGTTGAGAGTCCACTATAACCCCGACGATATCCAAAAATGGGAGATGTTCCCCTTGAACAAGCCATGCATGCACCTTGATCAGCTGGAACTTGTGATCATGCTCGAAGATTCCAAAAGCCGAAAAGCCCTGGTAGGCTTATTCAGACGATTGCAGAATGTCAAAGAGATCAGGCTCCTAGCCCAAGGGAGTGGTCTGGCATCATGGGGATCTCACGAATTTGTTAGACTACTCGGTGAAATGCTCAAGGAAGACCATTACCAAAGATACGATGCTCCGAACGCTCCGAATCTGGAACATTCGTGGTGGGACTGGAGCTACAGCGACGACCTCGGCCAGGCTATCTTTGTGGCCCAGCAGCCTAAACCGATTATGCTGGAAGAAGACTACATGCTGTTGATGAAGCCGAATGTTGACTACATCGTAGAGTGCATGGTGTCATATAGCACTTAGCCTTAATTATACATCTTGACCGACCATGACAAGATGTCTGTATACATCTGTCACCGCCGTTGTGTTGCTATACTTCACGCCTGAAGATCCAGTCGTTTGTTATCATACCGACGTAGATGATTCCCAAACATCACCATCTGACCGTGGCAGGAATTGACATGCGGCTGTGCGGAAGCGGAATGAACCTGAGATGCGGCCCCCACTCCAGCCACAGAAGCTCATTCAGACAAAGCGCGCGTTGAGATACACCCGAAGGATTCACTCGACAATACTTAACGCACAGTACATGTCATGGCTAGACAAGCGATACAATCGCTCTACTGGATCTGCAAAGGCCATTCACCAAAATGGCACTTTTGACAATATTACTCACATTGCTCGCGCTGCCAGTCGCTTTGATTATCTAGTCTGCGTAATCTCTCGCCCAAAATCGCGCAAAAGCAAGAGCAATTGGCCTCCCTTACCTCGAACGATGGATTTCACCTATGAACCCTTTCTGGCTGCTTGGTGGCAGCAGATTTGTGCGCTTATGCGAACGCTTGGGTATTGCGACCGAGAACATGTCTCGCATCTACTCGTACGGCTGGGAAGCCAATACGCGCGCCCAGGTCCACGAACATGTGGGTAGCGATGTCTTCATCGTGGTACATCCAGGCGGTCTTCAGCTTTGCGTAGCGGATGCTGCGGTCACGTATGATATTCTGCAACGCCGCAGGGATTTCCGACGTAATATGGAAGAAATGGCTGTTCTTAACGTGTACGGAAAGAACCTATCGACGACGGATGACGAGGAGTGGCAGCGGCATCGGAAGATGACTGGCGTTACATTCACGGAGAAGAACAACGAGCTGGTTTGGAAGCAGTCTTTGAGTCAGACTGAAGGTATACTCAAATTCTGGATCAAGCGATCCAAGCAACCGATAGGTTCAACCCACCAAGATACAAAAGTCTTCACACTCAATGTCCTGGCCGCAGCAATGTTCGACAAGGTCTATCCGTTCGAAGGAAAGTCCGAGGAAACCAAGAGCAAGCATGAGGGTGATCCCTCATACATGTATCGAGCTTCTCTCCCGACCATTCTAGGCTCTATCATCCAGATCTTCATCCAGATCTTCACCCAGGGCGAAGAAGGACTGAAAGCCTGATGGACGCCTAAGTCCTGGAAAGGTGCTGCGGAAGCAATGGCTATTTTCCGCTCGTACATTTTACGTCTGATGGATGAAGAAAGGACACACGTGAAGCAAGGACGGACTGATCGTCAGCATCTTGTCGCGCGTCTGATGCGCGCATTAGACACAAATCAAAGTCCCGGCGAGGCACCTCTCTACGAAGTCGCGGACGAAAACAAGGCTATCAAGACTGTGAATATGACCGAGGAAGAGATCATCAGCAATCTCTTCGTATACGCATTTGCCAGGAACGACACTACAGCAATCGCACTAACCAGCATACTTCACCATCTCGCCGCGAACCCACTCTTGCGATTGTGGGTTAGTGAAGAACTACACCACTACCTTACTTCTAGCGACACCAGCACATGGAGTTTCGAGAACTTCAAAAAGCTAAAACGCTGTGGTGCTGTGATTGTAAGTACCGTGTAAGTCCGTGTCACCAACTTTATGCTAATCCTTTCGTAGATGGAAACATTGCGTATCTGCCACCCACTATCCCAATTAGTCAAGACGACGGGTTCAAATTTTCAACCCTTGAAATACAACGGTGAAACATACATTATCCCTGCCGGAACGTCAGTCCGTTGCTCTATACCAGCTCTCCACGCACTCCCCAAATACTAGGGACCCGATCCACTCGGCTGGAATCCCGGTCAACATATTAGCGTAGCGGCTCCTCGAACTCAAGGAACAATCCCATTCGAAAGCGAGGTACTAGTGCCAGATGCATCCGAGCACTATCTAGCGTGGGCATGGGGCCAGCGCGTGTGCCCAGGAAAGCGCTTCTCACAAGTCGAGCTTGTAGCGGTCCTGGCCGTGTTGTTGCGGGATTGGAAAGTGGAAGTTGTGCCTGAACCCGGTGAAACAGAGGAAGGCGCGAGGAAGAGAGCGTGGGAGTGCAGTTTAAAAGTCGACCATGAGGGGCATATGTTGCACGAGATGGGCAATCCCGAGAGTGTAGGATTGAGATGGGTGAAAAGAGTTTAGTGGAAAACACTTGATATCATCGAAATCTGCGAGGTTCGTTACTCGGAACCAGATTCTTTATCCTAGCCCTCAAACGTCGACCAATCTTCCTGCTTGAAATAATCTTCCAAACTCGTCATCTGTCCCGCCATACCCACATCCTCTGGAAAAAGAAGATTCTTGTCAGCACCGTAATATCCAAGATCTCTAGTGTACTACCAGCACTGCATAGTATGCTCCTTGATATCATCATCTCCAGACATCATCTCCCAATATTCTTTTCCAGACATGTGCTTGATACCTTCGTCGCCAACTAATTTCTTACCCACAACCTTCGACCACTTGGCCATGAACACGCGGTACGTGGCTGACTCGCTCATGGCGGCAAGACGAGTACCAGGCTGGAGGTCTTCGATGAGCTTCTTAACGAGAGGACCCGTGTCGCGGCGCGTTCAGCGTCATTTTGCTCGAGAAGAAGGCGAATATGGTATGCATCCAATAAGCAGGAAAAAATGGCAAACGTGAGATGCTTGTTGTTGTTAAGCCAGACTAGCTTGCGGATGCGGAGCGTCGGCAGCACTCCGGAGGTTGTTTGCTTAACATTTCGGACGAGATGCAGCAAGTGCAATTTTGACTGTTATGTCCACGTCTTCCCACATAAATTCGACAGTATCTAGACGCTTATCTTTGATTGTGTCTGTCCTTGCTATTGACCTACCTATCGAACACCCCAGTTGCTCTCAGGTATCCTGCATCTAATATCGGCAGCTCAGGGCACCTGTCCAGATTGTCTTTCCGGTGGAGCTCTCGGTGTTTTAGAGCTGATGATAACGTTTATACACCCGGGCAGCTACCAAGTCCACATTACTTTTGTCTTTACTCAAATCATCAGGCGTTTACAAAGCGCGGTGGTCAAGCCTTAGCGGCTTGCGGCTTTCATCATTGACCATGAAGACTAACGTTGACCAACTCTGCTGCATCGCGAAGCACGCAACCGTGTGCGAGGCTTGGTAATGAAAGCATCGAGGTGCGGAAAGAGATGAACCGGTGCTTACTGACAGTGCGACGGCTTATTAGAAATCACGCCCCTTTGGATGCCCCGGAGCTCCGACGCGGCCCCCACTTGCCCAATGATGTACTTGACGCAATACATCTCGCGTCTTCCTCAACACCAAGCGCGACTGCTATAATAGGAGCCATGGCGTCTCTTGTCAAGCGCCCTCCACACTCCGAATCAACCCATCGCCCACCATGAGCGCCCCCAAGCCAATCCTCATCTCCGGCGGCGGCCTTGCCTCGCTCCTCCTCGCCCGTTCGCTGCACCGGTCCAAAATCCCATTCCTCGTCTTCGAACGCGACGCATCCATCGTTTTCAGAGCTCAAGGTTACCGCCTGCGACTCTCAGCACAGGGGCTCGATGCCATTGAGGAAGTTCTCGGACCCACGGGCTTCCAGAAGTTCTACGATGCTTGTGGGAAAACAGGCGGGGCCGGCCTTACAGCCATCAACCCGCTGACGGGCGAGACAGTGGGTGGAGATGCTCCGAGCGTGAGGAGTGAGCCTTTGACAAGCAAGGACGGCAAGGTGGTGGGCATCTCGCGCGGTGACATGCGCAAGCTGTTCATCGAGGGCCTAGAGGACAAGGTGCGCTGGAATCACCACGCCACAGCATACGAGAGGACGGACAACGGTGTGCGATTGATTTTTGCCGATGGCACCAAGTCGGAAGAAGGGTCCATGCTGGTTGGAGGCGAGGGCGTCAAGAGCGCAGTAGGCGCTCAGCTGTCCAACGGCGCCATCAAAGTTTACGACCTTGGATCGAGAGGAATCCATGGACAAGCTCCGACATCCGCTTTTAGGGCCTTGGGCGAAGGCGTCTTCCGATTCGCCGACGACACGTCGCAACCAAACGGCGGCAGGGTCTTCATCATCACAAATGTACGCGCTGGTGATATGGATAACCCCGATATCGACTTTGGCTGGACCATGATTGGCTCGCCAGGTGTCATCAAGGCACCTAATGACAACTACACCATTACCGGACAGCCTGTTGCAAAAATTGCCAAAGCCCTCACTTCGCACTACCACCAGCGTGTCAAACCACTGTTCGAGAATATGAAAGAATCCGAAGCAGCTTTCTGGAAGATCACATGCTCTGACCCGAGGGGTGTTCCGGAATGGCCCAACGATCCTCGAGTTACTCTTGTTGGCGACGCTGTCCATGCCATGACGCCGGCGGGCGGCAACGGTGCGAACACGGCTGTGCGTGATTCAGCTTTGCTTGGTCGATTGATTGCCGAAGCTTGGGAGAGAGGCGATGGCGATAAATGGACTGGTGTGACAGAGGCATACGAGAAGGAAATGCGCATATACGCATCTGAGGCTGTTAAGACTAGTTACGGGCAGGCTACAGGGATGTTCGGTGTCGACCTTGACCTCGAGACGACACCCACGATAAACGAATACATGGCGCCGAATTAAGGCTAAATCTTGGATTACATCCTACCTCACACTACTACAATAATGTATGTCAAGAGTTATAGTATAGACATGAAGAATCTAAAAGCCTACAATGCTTTCAGTCTCTATAAGGTTGTCTGTTAGAAGTTGATGTAGGCTTCAAGGTAAGGCATAAGGTCTCTACACCTGTTTCATTTTCCTCGTATGCGGTGCAGGCAAGGTTTTAGTGGCTTTTTTAGCAGCAAAAGATCTCGGCCGCTCTCTTTATTGCCGGTAGTGACATCCGCCATAGCGACCACGACTCATGTACAGCTTCCCCGCATTGGCCCACCGTCATTAAAAAACGGGTCCTCACGCGAGATGTACAGCTGTACATCTCGCACGAACTTCCCATTAGATGGATCCACCTCTTCCAGCGCGTCCACGCAAACGCCGTGCTATCAATGCATGCATCAGTTGCCGAACGTCCAAGGTCCGCTGCGATGGAAACCGCCCCTGTCAACGATGTGACAGGAATAGTACAACCTGTCAGTATCATGACGCAGTCAAGGATGAGAACGTGTTGCGTATCGAAAAGCTCGAGGAAGAAATGGCCATGATTCGCGAGCACATGCGTGTCCAACAAGGCCGGGACAAAAGCGTACGTAGGCACCTGCAAATAAGCCAGGCAAGATTACACCTGAGCCAGCTAGAGGCACAACAGACTTCAGCCCCACTTCGTGGACCATCATGAGACATCTCGCTGATCATGTCCGTGGCTACAGTCACTCACGGAGCATGCGAATACAACAGTTCCCGACTTTGCGCTTCATTCCCTACCTCGATGCAACGCACCTGCCATGCCAATACGCAATGCCGTTGATGCAGGCATAGTCACATGGGAACAAGCAGCGAGTTGGTATCAAAGGTAGCTAGAACCGAATCTTCTGTAAATCCTCATATCACTGATTAGCGACAGCTTCTTTTCTGGTAGTGTATGAGGGCCCCGATTTATCGTTTGAACCACACTAAATGGCATAGCAATATCTTGTACCCATATTTTGCGAGAAGACAGATACCATTGCATCAGTGTCTTCACGGAGTCCGTGAGAAATTCTCCAGTCCTACTCAAGGGTGAGACATACACTGACTTTGAAAAAGAATTCTGTTCGATGCCATTGTTAGCATTGGCTGTCGTGCTAACGAGGGATTCAACACAACGATATATCGTCGGTTGCAGTCTAGAGTTCGCGACCATATAACCAATATGCTTATTAACACAAGCGTTCCTACACTAGAGGATGTACAAGCGATCGCATTAGTGGCGGCATACTCGGAGAATGGATTTGTACTAATAGCAACAGCCCTTCGCTTCGCCATACAGATCGGGCTACCTCTTGCTGTTGATCAACTCATCGCGAAAAGTCATGCACGGCCAAGGGTTATCACTACCGATGAGCAAAATCTTTACCGGTTATCCAGAGTTTGGCACGGCATCTGCAACCTTGAGCTTTTGTGAGTATGTCATATGCCAAGTCGAAGATTTCTGCTGAAGATATTCCAGTTTCTCCCTCGATGGAGGCAAATTACCAGGCCTGACTCTTCAAATGTCGTCCAGGAAAATTAGGAGCCTGCTCGTTCATCCGGAACGAACAGCGATAGATATCCGACTTCTTTCGCAAGTCGAGCTCAATATCATCCGCACCGAAGCTTATACCAAGATCATGGGTCGGAACGGCGACTTCATGATCCAACTCAGCGAAGATCAGCTTCGAACTACAGTAGATGATGCTAGAGTTGAGCTGTCACTGTGGCTCGATGAGTGGACCACTATCGCAATGACGGAGCCAGCGCCACACCAGCGTGCAATAGCATTACAAAATTTGCAAATCCAACGGGAGTGGGCGATGATGACGCTCTATCTAAAAGCTGTATCCTCGTCAGGGATCGAGAACATTGCAATCATGACCGACTTCCAACGCGACTTTATACGTAAAGCCAAGGAGGCGGCAAGCTGCCATTTACATTACATGCTTCAGTCATCGCTAACACCAACCTCGTCGCCTGCATCTCACACTACCACCTCGGGCTCAGCATATCTCAGTACTTTCCGCTGGACGCTTGATTACGTTTGGGCTAAATGCGCCGTATCAGTTCTACTCGTTCTCAGGCTAGCCATTCTTCTCCGCGACCCAGTCCCCTCTGTCATGGCGCTGCTTCGTGACGCGCACCGTGTGCTAGAAGAGTTGAAGACAGTGACCGTCGGCCATATCGCATATTTTCAGATCTTGCAAACCAGCATCGAGAAATGCGAAGCCGCTCTCCGAGAGTATGCTGCGGAACAAAATTCTGATCAACAAAATTCGATGGCTGGAGCAAGAAATGGGGCGGCTGAAGACGAGTTCCAGGGCTACGTGCCAAGCGAGTTTGTGTTCGAGTGGGATTTTCCTGGGTTAAATCTCAAACACATGCCTCTCGGATGGCAAGATCTATTCGTCAACATAGACAGCTTGTTTTGAAACGAAAATTTCAACAAGAAGCGGAAATATATACGCAAGTCATTTTCGGATGACCGGGTCCAGTAGCCAAGCATGTACATTATGTGCGGAGGCCAACAAGACATACGACTATCCATTCCATCGCGATACATGCTGCCCAGATGTCGTCTGAAAGGACGATCTCCACTGTGCGTTACTTATAAAACATAAACGAAATCTTCGTTCTTGATATCAGTCAGATCATCGAACGCCTTGTCACCCACGCCACTGGCTTGTGCGTTGTCAGCTTCCTCGGCGTCACCTTCACGCGCAGTTCCCATACTCGTATCAACAACGATCGCCGATTTGCCCATGCTCTCCCTTGTTGCTGCATGCTTCCGATTCAACAGCTTGATCCAGAACATTGCAAGTAAAATCAGAACAATAATTGCAATGAACAATGCCAAATTGGCGCGCAATCCTCTGTAATAGTGTGGCTTCTCGGACGGCTTGAAAAGTTGGGGTCCGATGATGTTACCCGCACTAGCGCCGACAAAGAGGATACTAGTCGTTACTTTACGCTTCGTGTCGCCTCCAGTATTCTGGCCGGACCAGGAATAGATGAGCGGAGATATTCCGGGGTAAAATGACGTCTGGGCTTGTTAGTGTTGATCGTTCTGTTTCGAAGAAGCAATGACTTACGAGGTAATATCCGAAAAGCAAGACGCCTTTGTTCGAATCGCCGCGTCCAACGACCATGAGGATAATGATGCCAATGATTGGCGGGATACACAATAGGATCAAGACCGGGCTCTTTTTCTTGAGCCATGTTGCTAGCCATGCGCCCCCTATAGTTGCCACAATCTGGACGACGCCGAACGGCATGTTGAAGAGAATGGTTGCAAATTGACCAAATCCGAAACCTGGATACGCGGTCAGTACAGGCGTCACATGTGGCTTGTGTAAGGGGACTGCTCACTCTGAATGATCAAAGGTCCGAATGTAGTGATACCACCACTAGGAATGCTGACAGCCGTCAACATGGAAAACCAAAGCCAAGTCTTGGGATCCATGAAGGCCTCCAATACGTGATCCCACTTCCAGACGCGGGATGCGACACCCATTTGATTCATACGCAGACGCTCGACCGCAACCAGCTTCTCGTGATCATTTAGGAACTTTGCTTCGACAGGAGAGTCCGGCATGAAGAACCAAACGAAGACCGACACGATAACTGTGAGCAGGCCACAAAAGAGGAAGATGATCTGGTATGAGTGCAGGAGGTCCGACTTGATATGTCCCAAGCCGTACGAGAGCAAGCTCCCCAGAATGTTGACGATACCTAGCATGGCGTACCAGGCTGCGTTGCGGTTCGTTTGCTCTCCACGCTTATACCACATCTGGACGACGGCAATGAATGCAGGTGCTATGGAACGTTAGTAGTCGCTATGGTGCCAGTATGAGGGTCTAACTTACCTATGGCAGCTTCGAAAGCACCCAGTAGGAACCGTGTTGCCATGAGCCCAGCGAAGTCTCTTGCACCCGCCATGCCACACACTTAGTGTAGGTGTATGAAGTCAGTGTATGCGTCACATGCAATTCGAACAGAAACACTCACGAATGACACCCCAGGTGAAGACCATCACGCCCATGAACTTTCCCATCCTCAGCTTGACTAGCAATACAGCAACGACTGGTTGCGCTACTAGCTGAGCAATGTAAACAATACTGCCTAGCCATGAGTATTGCTGACTGTTCGGGTCAAGGTTGGCATCCTCGATGAGCCCAAATACGGAAGCGTAGGACAGAGTGGTCTTGTCGAGAGACTGCAGAAAGTAGACACTAAGGAGGATGGGTAATATGACAAGATCGATCTTCTTCAAGACGCGTTTGTTCTCGGCGCTGCATGGTATGAGGTCAGTATAGGTTCCACATGAATTCATGTGGGAGTACTCACGATGTTACGACGATGCGTTCGTTCGATGCGAGGAGCGCAGCCGCTTTGTCTTTGCCTTTACCGTTAGCAGCGTTGCTAGGCTTATGGATAGATTCTGTAGTTTCGACATTTTCGACATGGTTCTTATCGATATCTGTTGCCGTCGTTGTTGCTGCAGTAGCGTCCGTCATGTCTGGTTTCGACATCGCAAGAAGGAGTGACGTGGAGCGAACCCAGAAATGTCTGTAATGCTACAGCAGTAGTCAGTGGATATGGCCCGACTAAACTTATACGCATCCCCACGGGGACCCCAGACTCCGATCTTAACTCTTTTGGGGGTAGATGCATTGCTCGCGCGCGGCCGAAGAAGCCGGCTTGGCCTTTTCGGCATCGGAAAATGGAACTTTCGTGCGAACTAACATACGTTGTCTTGCTATAAGTATAATTGATTGAAGTCACGATACTTGGAAAGAGGACAGGCACTGACGACCAGTTTTACATTCATTCTCCATCATGCCAACGCTTGAGCATGTCATCAGCGGCTATCAAGCTGCCGCCGCAACAGAAACATCAAAGTCGGGTGTTCATTTGCAGTCTAACTCGGGTGACTTCACATTTACGTTCGATGCATTACGACCTGGCCTTTTCCGAACAACGTTCACCTCACCAAAGCATCTGTTGCCGCCGCACCGAGCTACGCCGGTGCCAGACAAGACCCTGGACCATGCGGATGCAGGCATGGTCACATCAAACGCTAGTTCAAGGACATTAGCCGTTGATGGCGTAACCGCGAATGTGGACTGGGAAAGTGGCGTACCCATCGTTTCAATCACACTTCCTGGCCAAAAAACACCTATTCACACCGACCTTCCCAACCGTTCGTACGTCGCTGATGGACCTGGAATATCTCATTACACGCGTTACAACAATGGAACCCTCCATCTTGGTCTCGGCGAGAAGCCAGCACCCATGGATCTATCGAACCGTCACTTCGTTCTTTCCGCCACCGATTCTTTCGGCTACGACGTATATCGCACAGATCCTATGTATAAGCACATTCCGCTTCTCATCAATGCTACTCCGGAAGGCTGTGTTGGTATCTTCTCAACATCGCATGCCCGTGGCTTCTATTCTGTAGGCTCGGAGATGGACGGCATGTGGGGGCGTTTCAAGGTCTACCGTCAGGATTATGGCGGCCTAGAGGAGTATCTACTAGTTGGAAAGACGCTACCAGATATCGTACGCATTTACGCTGACCTTGTTGGTCACCCGCTACTAGTACCGCGGTGGGCGTTTGGCTATCTAGCCGGTGGTATGAAGTACTCCATGACGGACGACCCACCAGCGAGTCAGAGTCTGATGGAATTTGCTGCTAAGCTGAAGGAACATGGCATCCCTTGCTCTGGTATGCAGATGTCATCTGGCTATACGGTTGCAGAGACGGAGCCGAAGACGCGTAATGTCTTTACATGGAACAAACACCGGTTTCCTGATCCAAAAGGCTGGATTGATGCTTACCACAAGGAGGGTATCAGGCTTATCGCTAACGTGAAGCCGTATGTGTTGGGCACACATCCAGAGTATCAAAAGCTCAAGGAAGCCGGGGCATTCTTCACGGATTCTCTGACGCTGGCATCTGCTGAGGCTAGACTGTGGAGTGCGGGTGGTGGTGAGAGTGGTGTCGGGGGCCATATTGACTTCACTTCCAAAGCGGGATACAAATGGTGGTATGACGGGATCCGCCAGTTGAAGCGAGAAGGCATCGATTGTATCTGGAATGATAACAACGAATACACTATTCCGCACGATGGCTGGCAATGCGCATTGGACGAACCGACAGTTACCCAAGAGCCCAAGAGCGGCGGCTACGGCAAAGATATCGGGTTTTGGGGCCGCGCACTGAACACAGAACTGATGGGTAAATCCTCACATGACGCCTCCCTTGACATAGAGCCCTCGCAACGGCCGTTCATCCTGACCCGTAGCGCTACAGCCGGAACGCTTCGCTATTGTGCTAGTGCCTGGAGCGGCGACAACGTAACATCTTGGCCGGGCATGAAGGGAGCGAACGCATTATCACTCACTGCTGGAGTGTGTCTGATGCAATGCTACGGCCATGACATAGGCGGTTTCGAAGGCCCACAGCCGAGTCCCGAACTCCTTGTCCGTTGGTGCCAACAAGGTATCTACAGTCCGCGCTTCGCTATCAATTGCTTCAAGACCGGCAAAGACAACAGCGTCGGCGACGTGATTGAGCCTTGGATGTATCCAGAGGTTACAGGTTTGATACGGGATACTATCAAGCGCCGTTACGAACTTATTCCTTACCTGTACTCGCTGGCCTTGCATTCTCATCTGTCTGCAACTCCGCCACAGCGTTGGACTGGTTGGGGATACGAGAACGATCAGGAGATCTGGGCGAACAAGGTACTAACTGACGGCGAAACACAGTACTGGCTTGGCGATGCATTGCTGGTCGGTGGTGTTTTTACTCCTGGTGCTGAGACTTCTAGCATGTATCTTCCCAAGGACTTAGCAGACCCGGATGCCGCGTTTCTGGATCTCAACAACGAGCCACAGACATATTATGACGCTGGTCAGTGGGTCGATATTTCAGCGCGTTGGGAATCGAGCATTCCAGTGCTAGCGAAAGTGGGAAGTGCAATTCCGGTAGGACGTGCCGAACAAGTCCTCTCAGTGGGCGAGACGAGCAATCCAGCGAATCTACCGCATGACGACTACCGCGCTGTGGAAATCTTCCCTCCAAAGGCTTCTTCGAAAGGCAAGGAGTATGAATCTGTTTGGTTTGAAGACGATGGTGTTTCGCCGCCACCAGCCAAGATCTCAGTCTTCACGGTCAAGTACGAGACGACTGAAACTCAAGTACTGGTCCAGTACGAAGAGAAACTGCAAGAAGGGTTCAGACCACATTGGGAGGAGCTGGAGATCATCTTGCCAAGAGGTGATACGAGGAGTGTGGTGTTCAATAGGGCGGACGCGGTGAAAACAGGAGTTGACAAGCAGGGGAGAGAAAAGTGGAAGTGCAGTATCGAAAGCAGAAAGTAAGCAAGTCATCATCCCATAGAAGATATTAGAATGACTTCATAGTAGAAGGACACTCTAGCATTGTTACATTCCAAACTTTCCACAGTCGCTCTAGCCTCCCTCCCCCAAATGCTAATGGCTTGCCACAAGTCTTCACATATTTCATGCTACAGACGTGTTAGCTGATGAAATAGAGAAGTGACGAATTTAAATTTTGTCTGGATGATGCCTCGTAGTAGTAAGACACCGTACAAGACTGATACGCGTGTGAATGTTTGTGCTTAATCGAACATCATATCACATCTTTGAACCACCATGCCTTGTATCAAGATACCCGCATGCGACTAGCTACTGCAGTCCGCCCGCAAGACAGCTGCACACCCTATGCGTATATGTAGCAAAATGGCCCAGCGAGAGTATTCAAGGCATCCCCGATAGTGATATTTGGCGCCCCAACATATTCTCCCATTGTGATCGTATCGTTCAGCGTGCCGTTAGGTCCTTGATTTCCGATGATCGTGCCTCCGCTGATGGCATATTGTCTATTTACAATATCTTGGTTTTGCCACGTCCTAGATGATGGGATATTGGTCAGCATATGTATCAAAGCTGGGTTCTACGGACATCAACTCACCACCATACCCTATCGATCATGCCGTGATGAGGAAAGAACGCTGGATCGGCGGGTGAGTTGTAGAAGTCTGAGCCGGCATCTCCTCCGATAGTGTAATGCCCGCCCTGTATATAGGTTAGTATCCACGCGTGACAAGTATTGCTGGGTAAACCTACAGTGTGTACACCCATAAAGTTCTTCGCAAACTCTCCCTGGTACACTGTTTGGAAGCGTGCAATATCTTTGATTTGGATGAGAGAAGAGACTTCGAAATCACTCGTGGAATTTGCAGCTTGTAGATTGATGTCACGAGAAAGACAGCGCGGATTGTAGCCCAGACCGTTAGCTTGTGAGTTTGGTGGTATACCACCAGGAACCTTCAGCATTGTTTGCAGGGGACCCATGTTGATCTTCCAACTACGGTTCCGTCAGTACATACAGCAAAAAAGCGTAGCAATTTTGCGCTACTCGGTCGTCTGAAAATACTTACTCTTTGAACGGACCGGAAGTGACACAACCACCTCCTGTACCGGGTTGAAGCTTCATGAGACATGGTTCTTCATATGGAAAGCAAGAATAATTCCTTCCAGGAATGTACTCGCCGTCACCAGACATACTGTATCTGCTGCCATCGAAGAATGGTCCGCTTTTTGGGTCATGCGACCAGTGAGCCCAGTTGTAGTAGGGTTGATAACCTTTGTAGCCACACTCATTACGGAGCATCTGCTCGAATGTCCAGGTGAAGTACCGATGCCATGACAGGAAGTTTGCCGTTCCATGGATGGAGAGCGATTGCTGGATATGTGTCACCACTAAATCGTCGTATCGACTCTTTGCCCCCACAGCAACAGCAGCTGGGGTTCTTGCGGGCTTCTTTCCAATGCATTGTACTGCTTTGATGTAATCACGTTTCTCCGACCTTGAAAGAGACGCCCTAGAGGAAACAGTTAGTCAAAGCTTTCTCGAATCATGTCTCTTCTGGCATACCATTCCTTTCTGACATATGCAGTCTCTAGGGTACACTTTTCCGCATTTGTATAGCCGTGTTCAGCAACATATGCCTTCAAGTTGGCTAGACCCTGATGAGCCAGCTTGTCATTCTCCATGAACTTTGCCTTCGGTGCAGCACTGGCGACGGCCAGCAGGCCTGCTAGCACGAGTGCTAACCTCATTGCAAGAAACGAACCAGAGAGTTGTGAACACAATGCTCAGCAGCGCGGAAGAAGACGTCAGATTTATAGCTCCACAGTTATAAATTGCTTGACAAGGTACACCGAAGCCTAGGATTATGCACAAGTTTGTTGAAAGAACAACCAGGTCTACGGGTCAGTTCTTGGGACAGGGAAGAAATACTGGGAATGCCCACGGCGAAGAATGTGAATTGACAGGCATCAAGTGCATCGAGAATTTTAGCTCAATACGTCTCGGAGGCATCTTGCCGCTGTAAAGATCAGTAGCTTAGTGCGCTGAGCAGTGATGGCCTAAGGGCCACCCGCGTGTAGAGTGTCTGACCAATAAACACAATAACTGAAT